AGAAGATGGACTCAATTCTTCACATAACTATATTTATTCATAAATGTAATGCAGGAAAACATTCATTTAGTGGAGTTAATGCATCAAATAGTAAAGAAATAAGATCAGCAGCATAACTTTCAGCCTAATCAAAATCAGATAATGTAAATCAATAACTCTTAACATACAACATGCCACTTCATGTGGCACACCTGTAAGATCAGACGAAGTGAAGATACAGAATATACACTGGTATATATAATCACCTTTGTTCTGCAAAGCAAATGAAGTAATGTTTATTATAATCTTAATAAATTAAAACAGTCTAGATTCACACTGTGAATTTTATTAAATCAACCTGTCTCAGATTAAGTGTCAACTAAAAGTAAAAAGTTCTTTGGCAATCCTCAGATTATTGCGGTTTCAACTTTCTCTACACAAATATAAAAGCTTAAATAGGTGCAGAAAAATAAATGTAAACTGAAAGAACTAGCGGAGATATTGAGAAATTTAAAAATGAAAACTGCAAATATTTAGGGAAAATTCAATAAATTTTAAGATAAAAAGATAATATATATATATTTTTATGTCTACTGCATTATTTGGAGTTTTTAATATATATGTATATCTTAGTACTAGAAATTTAACATTTTTGAAAACTGAGTAAAACAATTAAATGTTTTGCTTCACACTATGCTGCTAATATACATGCAACAGTTTAACAATATAATTCTTGCTTAGAACCCCTACGCACTCAATACATTTAATACATTTACTTAAGGCACAAAAAAGAGGTGGTGAGGGAAAGGGTGGATGAGTGAGTGAGAAAGGGAGGGAGGGAGAGAGAGAGAGAGAAAAAGAGAGATAGAGAGAAAGAAAGAGAGAGAAAGAGAGAGAGCGAGAGAAAGATCACACAGAGACCAACAGGCAGAGAATGAGTAAGCCTCTATCTCTTTCTCACAAATTTAGTAATTCTTCACATATTTAATTTTTAACTAACTCAACTGTTACTGTGTCAGGTGGTAAAGTTAAGTGCACTCAGGTGGGGTTTTTTTTTTCAACCTTAAGTTGTCTGGAACCATGAACACTGTGGTGGGGATTTTATCCACAGATTAAAAAAAAGCTTGGCCTCTACCAGTAAAATGATCTTATTTTATGACCCTGGCTCTACAATGTGCTGTACACTTCTCTAGGTGTGGTAATGTGTAGTGAGTCAGGTCACTTGTTCTGAACACTGTGGTGATGAAACACTGAATCAATATCTTGGCCTCTACAGTAAAATCGAGACATTGACCCATAAGTGCTGCTCAGTGTCTCGGGTTGGCAAGGAGCGGAGCAACAACCCAGTTTGCTAAAGCTGAACAAAGAACCAGCACCCTTTTGGTAAGGCATGTAATTTTATTCACAGCAACAGGACACTCCCAGACTCAGTGTCTTAGTGGTAAACAACACACAGATTAAGGCATTATTTTTGTTCCAGAACAGACATTTTGTGGTAAGTACCGGCACCTTTTCCAGAAACTGCAGTGAGTACCCTTTTTTCCTACACACACACAAAAATGTTCCTACTAGTAAAATGTTGATCTTTGATGACACTACATCTACAATATGCTGTAAGCAAGCTGAACTTAGTATACACTTGATGAAAATGAAGCCTAATTGCACAACAAATGTTACGACAGAAAAATAATTCTCGGCTGCAAACAAGAAGCTTTGCTTCTGGGGAAACAAACCCAAGAGAAAAAAAAAAAATTTAAGTGAATAATTTACTACCAGATTCACAAACATGCTGTGGCAAAATTTATTTATATACCTGGGGAACCCTTGAGACCCATTATGTTTGTAATCATCATCACTATTATCCTGTCATGCCGTTTTTCGTCTTGAAGAGCTCCCAGTCTAGTCCTCCATTCTGTTCTCTCTTGTGCAATTGTTTCCATACTACGGATGGAATCCAGGCCAGCAATTCGTGCCTAGTCCTCCATTCTATTCTCTCTTGTGCAATTGTTTCCATACTACAGATGGAATCCAGGCCAGCAATTCGTGCCTAGTCCTCCATTCTATTCTCTCTTGTGCAATTGTTTCCATACTACGGATGGAATCCAGGCCAGCAATTCTGGCCTAGTCCTCCATTCTATTCTCTCTTGTGCAATTGTTTCCATACTACGGATGGAATCCAGGGTGGCAATTCTGGCCTAGTCCTCCATTCTATTCTGTCTTGTGCAATTGTTTCCACACTACGGATGGAATCCAGGCCAGCAATTCTGGCCTAGTCCTCCATTCTATTCTGTCTTGTGCAATTGTTTCCATACTACGGATGGAATCCAGGCCAGCAATTCTGGCCTAGTCCTCCATTCTGTTCTGTCTTGTGCAATTGTTTCCATACTACGGATGGAATCCAGGGTGGCAATTCTGGCCTAGTCCTCCATTCTATTCTGTCTTGTGCAATTGTTTCCATACTACGGATGGAATCCAGGGTGGCAATTCTGGCCTAGTCCTCCATTCTATTCTCTCTTGTGCAATTGTTTCCATACTACGGATGGAATCCAGTCCGGCAATTCGTGCCTGTTCCATAAATATTCATATTAGGGTTTCTCTTGGATGCTCCCGTTTTTCTCAGTCTGATCTCCCATTTCACTACCTATTTAGAGAGGCAGCGCCACTCCTACTCCCCATGAAGTGCTTTCTATACTGCCATTATCTTTTTCTCATTAACTGTTGATGCAAGCAGTTTTCCAGATAATTCTTTTCATGTTTACACCTTTCTTGAATTTACCCCATTTAATTATGTAAATCTCTACTTGCAGCATTCACCAGCTGTAAACTCAAACATAATGTTCTGGTTGTTTGTCCACTCCCTGACTTTGAGTTTTGGGCGTGCATTTGTTTTACCAACATGACCTTCTTGTATGCAGACTGTTGGTTCATTACCTCTTTGGCAGATTAACTAAAACTTTGAAGAAAATACCCCTAATTGGTAGCCTCCTACAACATGCTTGTGGGGGGGGGGGGGGGGGGGGGGGTTTAATCTACATGGGTATAATTATGCAAGTAATACACATAAATCAATTGCTGGGGAACTCTTGAAGCCACTGTGTGAAAAATACACATAAATTTACACCTGAACACAAAATGTATAGATTTTTTGGGTGTCTACTTCTTTCTTCTGCATCTCTGAGTGTCAGTCAGTACGTATGTCCTATACAAATTATTTATCTTTTCAAAAGCATGTGTCATTATTTTGGTGTGTAATTTATTGATTCAGAAGAATTTTTTTTTGTGGTGACAACTGAAAAGGAAAAATAAAACACCAGGTTACAAGTTATGTTCCTGGACAGTAACAGAAGCTGGTGTGTACCAACACATCACCCATCAAGTGCTGGCTTGTCTAAACACATCACCCATCAAGTGCTGGCTTGTATAAATACATCACCCATCAAGCGCTGGCTTGTCTAAACACATCACCCATCAAGCGCTGGCTTGTATAAACACATCACCCATCAAGTGCTCGCTTGTCTAAACACATCACCCATCAAGTGCTGGCTTGTCTAAACACATCACCCATCAAGTGCTGGCTTGTCTAAAGATTCGGGGCTAGCACAATATATTCACATGCTTGAAAACAGGTGCCACCTTCCTCTTGCTCTTCTGGCCCCTCAATCACAGACAAATCATTCTGTTGTAGTTTTTTACTTTTTTTTTTACTTTCTGTTATCTATCCATTTATTCTTGGTCTACCTCAGCTCTATGTCGTTCTTCTCTTTTGGTATATTAGTATTCTAGGTGAGCAAACCATTTTCAGTGTGGGTTCCATGGCCCCATTTTGGGGGAGTTCCACTGCCCCCTTAACAAGCATACTGTAAAAAGTGACCAATCAGGGTGTTTCGAAGTTGGAGTGCATCTGCATGACAGACAAGGAACCAACAGTCTGCATATTATTAGGCCAGATCTGATAAACTGATTTTCATTCAAATCTCATGATCTGGATGAAGATCAAACATCCAGTAGTGGAAGAACAACCAGAACTTTTACACCAAAGTTTGCAGCCGGTGAAGATGAGGGAGAAGAAGAAAAAGCTACCACTTTAACAAAAAACATGTAGTATTGGTTCTGAGTAGCAGATGGAAAAAAAAAAAATTGTTGCTTTTACTTTACTTACAGTCTACAGTGTATTCCTGTTTACTTTTACATTAAAAACTTCTTTCAACTGCACAAACTATGTTTCTGCCAGTAGTGTGTAGCAGTTGATGGGGTTCAAGTGGTCCCAGTGTGAGTTTATTTTTAGGAGCACAAATAAATAAAAACAACTACCCCCCTAACAAACGAGTCACCGTGGCAGAGCAGTTAGACACTTACAGCAGATAAGAAGGTCATGGGTTCACTCCCTGGCAGGGCACGACTTCTTTTTTTTTTATGACCTTGGCTCCCAGGTCGACCCAGCCTTGAGTGGGTACCCGGTGCAGTCCCAGGAAGTAAAGGTGGCTGGCGTGATGCTGACCACACCACTGACCTTGTGCCGATTAGTCTATAAAATATAGATCTAGCCCTATATGCCCTAAAGGCGTTGAAAAAGGGTCCTTTACTTTACTTTTTTTACCCCCTAACAAGCATGTCATAGAAGGCAACTAATTAATGGTTTACACAAACCTGACGGATTAGGCCTGCAGATATCCCAACTTAACTGTTAACCACAAACTGTCAACCACCCTTTTAAAAAAAGGGAAGGCAGAAAAAGAAAAATCACTAGAAAGTAGGTATCAAAAACACACAAAACTGCAGTCAGTATCTGATCTGGAAGTTAATAATACCTGGACCAAGCAAACAAACATAAGATCATGTTAACAATACCATATCTATTTCTGATTACTTATTAACCTAAAAGTTAACATTTAAAAATGTTTCAAAACAAGAAGTTAATTACTAATACAAATTTTCTCGTAATGCTTCAACTCTATATACTCCAGTGAAATGTATCCCTTTACAGAAATATAACTTATCTTTACAAATCTGTAAATGTTCTTTCAAAGTTGCTGTACTTTTTGCCATGGTTTTCTGTCAATACCTTTACTTTTAGGATAATGTTTATTTTTACAATCGCTACCAAATGCACAGCCTGTAGTCCTCCAAAAGTGACATTCAACTCCATTCACAGGGCCTGTTTGTTTTGGCTGTAATCTGCAAAAGAAGAAAGGAAAACTAGTGAAAAGAAACAATACAGGTAATGATGTCAATGTTAATGAGAAACAAAAATACCTGTGACCAACAACAAAATAATTATGTTTGCAGATAGCTACATCTGACTCATATAGTGTGTCATTCATGAAGTAGAAGAACAACAGGAGCAAGCGGGCTGTTTTACACACACACACACACAAAACTGTCTTTCCAACACTGAAAATCAAATGAAAAGATGGGCTACACGTCGAGTAACATCTAGGAAAGATATAAAACCGAACGAAAAGTATATCTTGAGTAACTTCTGAACAGACCAGTCACTTCTTCCTCCCCAACCCTTTGCTAGGGTGGAACTGGATATAAGCTGTCAGAAACCATGTAAGAAGAAAGTTGTTGGTCCATATGGTATCCTAGCAGAAGCTTTTAACACTAATATAAATACATTAACTGGATTACTATATAAATGTATGAATTCATCATTATCATCAGGTGCCTTGCCGACTGGCGTGGGCAGTCATGCCTCTCTACAATTTGCAGCATGTATCAGTTTGTGTGCCGACACACCTCCATGCCATGCAACAATACTGTCAAGAATCTTCTCTCGTCTTTCTCTATCCCTCCTTCCACAGATCTTTCCAGTGGTCACAACATGTTCTATTTTTTCCCTCTTCTCAAAACATGGCGAAAAAAGATGACTGTCTCCCTCTGATGTCTGTGATAAGTTGTCTTCGGGCTCCGCCTCTTTTAAAACCTCTTGGTTGCTCTTTTTGGCCGTCCAAGGTATTTTAAGCATTGTTCTGTAAAACCACATCTCTGAGGCCCAGGATTAACAGCCATATGTTAAAACCATATGTTGTAAGCAAGAATTCTTTTTCTAACTCTCAATGACAAAGATATACTCCACAAGATGTTCTAAACATTATAAAAATGCAGTTTTATAATTACACCTTTAAAAAACACAACAAAGAGAGGGTTTGCAAACACGAAACAAATTATGGAGGGAGTAGTTATCTAGAATCTCAGGTTTCTGTATTAATGGAGATTTGGTCATAGGACTGATGGGTCAGCAGATGCAAGTGTGCTAGTCACTGTGCTATTATTGCTTCCTTATAATAGATGCATGTGTGCTAGTTACTGTGCTATCATTGCGTCCTTATAACAGATGCAAGTGTGCTAGTCACTGTGCTATCATTGCTTCCTAATAAAAGATGCAAGTGTGCAAGTCACTGTGCTATCATTGCTTCCTTATAATAGATGCAAGTGTTCTAGTTACTGAGCTATCATTGCTTCCTAATTAAAGATGCAAGTGTGCTAGTTACTGTGCTATCATTGCTTCCTAATAAAAGATGCAAGTGTGCTAGTTACTGTGCTATCATTGCTTCCTAATAAAAGATGCAAGTGTGCTAGTTCCTGTGCTATCATTGCTTCCTAATAAAAGATGCAAGTGTGCAAGTTACTGTGCTATCATTGCTTCCTAATAAAAGATGCAAGTGTGCAAGTCACTGTGCTATCATTGCTTCCTAATATGACCTGAAGTGTCAAACTCCAGAAAATAACAGCAACCTATAACAACTTCATCTGGAATAGGACTATGTTTGCTTATGTGCAAAATAAAAGATTAGAACACAACACAAAAATAATGGAAGTGTGTTAAGAGTATATAACTGGTCTTTACACATTAACCAAATATAAGAACACAATATTTTTGTTTTCAACATTGCAAAGCAGACAAATATTAAAAGCCACTTAACTACAGATGAAAATGAAATAAACAAGTCAACAAATATTATTACATGTGACATATTACTTCTACAATTAAGTAAGAAAACAAATTTTTGTAACATGGATGCAACTTCAATCAATCTATGTTGACGAGACCAATATCAACATCCTTCTGACATCCTCCAACTGACTCAAATCTCTGATTATATACAAAACTGAGTCAACTTGTTTGAGTAATACTTTTTTTTTTCACTTTTAGTTTTAATGTTACTTTTCATTGTTCAATTTAAAATGTAACTGTTTCTATCTTTTTATCTTTCCGCTTTTCAATTATCCTTTCTAACAAATATACCTTGCTGTTTTTCTAGGCTACATTATTTGTTGACTTATTTACAATTATAATTATTTTATGCATTTCATTATTGTTTCTTATCACAATTTTTTCATATTTTATCATTACACTATTTTATATATACGAGCATCTTTTTCTACTACGGCATTTATCCAAAGAGGTAAATTTGTTGTGCCTGTTTACAGCATAGCTGTGATATCTGTGCCTTTTAGCCAGATTTAAGCAAGCATTTGCTGCCCAGGTTAGTCTCCAAGGATACATGGGTATCACTATTTGCTGCCCATGTTAGCCTCCTCAAATACATGGTTATCACCATTTGCTGCCCAGGTTGGTCTCCCCATCGGATACATGGGTATCACCATTTGCTGCCCATGTTAGCCTCCTCGGATACATAGGTACCACCATTTACTGTCCAGGTTAATCTCCTCAGATACATGGGTATCACCATTTGCTGCCCATGTTAGCCTCCTCGGATACATGGGTATCACTATTTGCTGCCCAGGTTAGCCTCCTTGGATACATGGGTATCACAATTTGCTGCCCATGTTAGCCTCCTCGGATACATGGCTATCACTTTTTGCTGCCCAGGTTAGTCTCCATTGGATGCATGGGTATCACCATTTGCTGCCCTGGTTAGCCTCCTCAGTTACATGGCTATCACCATTTGTTGCCCATGTTAGCCTCCTCGGATACATGGGTATCACCATTTGCTGCCCAGGTTAGCCCCCTTGGATACATGGGTATCACCGTTTGCCGCCCAGATTAGTCTCTGTCAAATACATGGGTATCACCGTTTGCTGCCCAGGTTAGCCTCCTTGGATACATGGGTATCACACAGGTATATATTTTATAACATTTTTTGCTTCCCTGTTTGTTTGTTTGGTACCCGTAATTTATTATCACAATACACTTCTGTTTCCAATTCTTCTACATTTTTAATTTTGCTGGCACACAAAAAGTGGTTTAAAACTGAGCTTGCATTTGTTAGCAAGATTAACATGTCCTTTCAAAAAAAAATGGCAAAAGAAATACATATTGCATGCAGTCATTGGATATCAAAACACTCAGTAACTAAGTGGTTAATACCAAAAGTGAATTACTAAAAAGCAATGAAAATATACAGCACAACAATGCATAATTCAATGACTCATTTGTATTAGTCCACTCAACTTATTAGTTGTGAGGCAACATTTATTAACTATGCATATATATTTTTTTTTTTTTTAACTACCGGAACCCTTTTGCCCCAAAAAGCCAAAAAACAACAAACAAAAAAAAAAAACTTCTGGTTAGGTACAATTCCCAATAAAGTAACTATTATGACTTACTTATAGTGACCCATTAAAAAAAAAAAAATACACAAAGTCAATTCTACTACCCAAGTTCATGCAAAAATGTTTAGGAGGTCAGGGTATGTAAACATTAAATATAAGCAGCATTTAGGGGAGTTTTTCCTTTGAGCTAAATGGCTTTTTTAAGCCAGGCTAATGTTAAATCTTCTCATAAGCCTCAGTGATTCAGGTCAAGGGGTCACGGCATATGCCACCCGATTATGTTTTTAAAGCCCCTGGGGATGTAATCCATTTAATGCTTCACTCTGTTAGTGTTTACTAACAACTATTTTATATATCTTGATATATTTCACAAACAATATAAAGATGAAAAATCCCTTTTAATGAGTTTATTACTTACATTTGTTTTAAAAAACCGCACAAAAAACACTTTAAATTAAAAAAAAAAGTTTTTCATTGATTTTTCTGGAATGCTAATGGGGTTATGACCTATTCTGTGTTAGTATTCCTGGGGCAAAAAGGTTAAGTGACATGCAAACTACATAAAGGGCCCAAGTTTCCTAAATTAGCAGAAATATTAGATAAGGCAAAGACAAGTCCAACTAGACAGTACAACTAATATTGTTTCAAAGCCAGCAGTACTAACTGAAAATGAAGCAGAAACTTTTTGGCCGTTTGTTCAACTATAAAGTTGTTGGCGTTATTTAAAAAAAAATCTTTGGGTTCTTTTTTTCAACCAGGGATGTTTCTATGAATTTTTGAGCATGTATGTATGTATATAAATACACACATATTTGTGTGTGTGTGTATATATATATAAAGGGTTACATATATATACATTTCCCGTGTGGGTTCCGGGGCCCCATTGTGGGGAAAACAAGAACAGACCCACTGCCCCCCCCCCCCTCCCCAAATGAGCATGTCGAAGAGTCAACTAATTTGGGGTTTCCTTTAAAGAGAGTGCATCTGCCTGAGAGACCAACAATCTGCATACAAATAACTGAGATCTCTAAAATGGATGTGCATGAAACACTCAGGTTCTGGAAACCAGAGGTGGATGAACAACTTAAATTTTCAGCCGGAGTTTACAGCCGGTGAACGTGAAGAAGAAGAAGACATATATATATCATTATGTGTCGTGCCGACCGGCATTGACATTTATCCATCTCTACAGATCTTAGCCCCTTGTTCTCTGGATCAATTCAACCGATGATATCCCTCTGTGCCACCGTCGCAATCCATCCCTCATTATCTCTCACGGTCTGCCTATAGTCTTCTTCAGTTGATCTTTCCAGTCATCACAATATTCTCGAAAGCGTCTCCTCTCTTTACATGACTAAAGAACAGTGCTTTTCTTTTTCTTATAGCTGTATATATTGATATTGTTTCAATAGCTTCTTTCAAGCAATCCTCATTAATTACTCCAGCAGTCCAAGGGATTCTTAACATTAGTCAGAGGAACTCACATCTCTGTCACCTCCAAGTTCTTTCCAATATAAAGACCCACACATACACACATGCTGCAAAACCTTGTTAACACAAACTCGCTTAAGAAGAACACTCAGCATGAATACAATTTAGGTCTCAGCAGGCAGGCATTATTATTGTTAAACATGAACTCTGGTCTGTTGGAATTTTTGTTATGTGGTTTTACTATATGTAGAGGATGGCTGAATCCTAAAGTTGGAAACAGTGAATTACATATGGGTAGAAGAATATGCACACAGACAAGCACAAATGAGTACAGAGACATAAATGCTGGCTGAGGCATTGATAATCCGTTAATAAAGTCCGTTAATAGCAATATTTAGGAAGGATTATCTCCCTCCCTCTTGTAAACACTGCTATAAGTATGCTGTACTGTAAATGCTTAGGCTAGTATCCTACTTTTGCTTTAGCTCCTACCCCTTCTCCCTCCCTCGGTGTGTGTATACATTTTTATGAAATGAAAGTTACTTATATAAGCATGCCCACATACATGAGTTACTACACAGTGAATATATTTTACATAAATTTCAAAAAGACATTTGATTATCATGTCATAAAGTGCTCTAAATGATAGGTATAGATATAACACAAGAAAAAGAATCCAAGTCAACTGAATATTGTTAACTTTTGTGTCTGTATCCTAAAATGTTTTAACACAATACTGAAATTGAATGATATCAAACTGGATAATATATATTTAAGGCAGATTTTCACAGTGTGAATGATAGAGTACTTTAACGCATATAAATATGAGGAAAAAAAAAACATATTAAGAATGAAAAATGCATATTTTGCAGAGCGATGAAACAGAAGGCAGAGTCTTAACAATGTGTTCAGTGGACATTCTAAAAATGAACTGACTTACTCTTTGTAAAGATAAGTTATTATATGTAGCTTGTTATGCAGCTGTGTCTCTGCCCATATTGTGTGCTTATAAAGGCTTTCTCACCATAATGTTTATTTTGTCATTTATGGTTAGGTTTTTATATGGAAGCTAATTTCTCATCAAGGTTAAAACAAAAATGGTAATAGAAGAGAACACATAAGAGGAAGAGACCAACCACAACAATATAATAAAAACTAAACTACACTAACCACACCCAACCCCTAAAGAAATGAAATTAATAAGAATATTAACATATATTAACATTTACACTAGAGAAGCAAACATAGAAAAATTCTATAAAGAGCTTTTAAAGTTACAGAAAGAGTTTTTGAAATTATTATCAATCTGTTACATCATCATTGCTTTTTTGTAAAATTAACATCAGTGGCGCAGTGATATCAATCACAGGCGTGAGAAAGTTTAGGCCATTGCAATGTGTATAAGTAGTTACTCTCTACCTCACGTGTGACACACAGCCGGCTCTTGGATGGTTTTACGCATCCTCAAACAAGACTCCTGCTGAACGTTTTCATGTCCTGCGCCCACTGATAAGAGAGCTCACCTTTGTGGCAGGGAATCTCTAAGCTGGTGGCCTCTAGAGACTGTAGTGTCCAGCCTAGCTCAAATCACCCACCCACAAAGCATGGGTAAAGTCCACTAAACGAAAACACGACTAAACGACAACCCTCAGTAAAAACAACTGTTGAGTAGGGAGAACTGCTGTACTGCTGAGATTCAGCTAAAAAACATGAGATTTTTTCGCAGCCTACATGAGCATGTGAATGCACGTTTTTCTCAGATAGCAGTCTGATTTTTTTCACAAGTAACAGCGATGGACATTCTGTGTGGTTTTCACTGGCACAGGAAAGGAGCAATTTTGCAGTGACCCTTTTGCCGTGGCGCTGGAACTGCAACTAACACAACAATCTATTATACAAAAAACAGAATTAAAAAGGAATACACTGCGATACACAATGTGTTACTCTGCACACTCTAGCATATTTTTTCTAACTAACACTATGCTGGAACCGTACTCAGGAGCCAGCATATGAAAAAGAAGCCTAACAACAACACAGCTTTCATGAGTTTAAAAAAGGACAACATCGGACAACACCTGGTTAAAGAAAAAGTGTTACCTCACCAACAGAATGGCTGCTAAGAAACCACTTTCTTGCTGATGCGCCTTTTGTAAACAATGAATTGTCAATCACTGGCATTTTCAGATGTTACAAACATTCAATGACTAGGCATACATGAGGTGAAACAAACAAAATGTTTATTTGCTCAATGCTTCAGAAAATGAACACTATATATCTACTAAATAATCCAATAAACAGTGAATCCACTAACCGCAAGCAAACAAAAAATACTACTGATTTCAGATGCTGAATATGTTAACTACTTTTATGTATTTTCACCATGAAAAACCTGTTTTACATAGAAAACAGCATTAGTATGCTCTCATTAGTCATTAATGTGTTACAATTCAAGCAATTCGCATAAAAGCATATATTCACATATGTGAGGTATGTGCTGTATGTATGCAAGTAAAGTATATAAACACTACTATTTAACAATTGTATTATTGTACTGGACACACACTTTTGCCCCCAATTTATGCTTAAGAACATGTGTGTTTGCCTCGCTCTGTGTCTGTGTGCCTCGTGTGTGTGAGATGAGAGAGACATTAAAAAGTACAGATTATTATAAATGTTAAGCTAGAGATTGCTTCAGAATTACCAGTTAAAATGCAATGAGAAACGTGGGTTGCAATGGACGGACATAAAACTGCAAGCACTTTTTTAACAAAGCATTTCATGTTTCTTGTTAGGTTAATGTTTGATTATATATAAACCAAATCCATCATGATTTCCAGTTGGCAAGCTGATAATTAAGTATGCACAGTACCAAAAAACTTATCAAGCAATGCAGGCAAGGTTGCAATTTTTTCACATAGAATAACTGAGAGAGACAAGTAAGTGATTATAAAGATGTTAGAATACAACTGAGACTGAACTTTAACTCTTTTAGACCCAAAGAACATGTGATGTTTGTGGACTATTCCTTTTGAATCCTAGTCATGACATACTTTGACCTCTTAAATCTTACATTTGGCCTTGGCAAATAATAGAAGAAATCTGACATTTTCAGTGGTGTCTTTCAAAGCATTATATTCAAGATTATTTGTAATGATTATCCGCCTCTAAACCACCTGCTATAAAACACTTCAGCACTGAAAGAGTTAAAATTAGTAGGTAACTTGTTAAAATAGAAGCTAATGCCACATCAACAGCTGGGAAAAAGATAACAGAAATTAGCACACTGTAGACAAAAGTGGTGTTCTTGCAAAGGACAATCAGCTTACATGTTTAGTGGTGATGAGAGTCAGGCATAAATTGTAAACCACTATATGGTAGTGAAAAAACGATGCCACCGAAAATGACATATTTTCTTACTCACCCTTGTTTTGTGGCACCATTGGTAATATTTTTTCTTATTGTGACACTACTGCCAGCACCATTTGAAATTGGATTATCTGGAAATTTTATAAGCAGTTTCTGGCCATCAACTTCTGCTCCCTGTGAAGAAACAATACATTTTAATGACTACAGATGAGGTGCAGAGAAATACAGCAGACTGCACTAGTAGCAGTATCTCAATTTTTATTTAGTCATTGGTATGTTTGCCTGATGGTTTAATCTACACTAACCCTATCACTCCAGTGAATGCTTACAAATAGATAAGTCATGACCTCTTGGCCGAAAGTTTTGTCTGCAAACGTATCTGGGACAGTCCTGGAGGATATGGTTTGTTGCCTCAGGTGCCAATCCACAGGTACTCATGGCTGATTCGCCAATCTTAAATTTTGTGTACATGTGGCTGAGAAGTCGCTTGTGCCCTGTTCTAAAGCGTAGGATGATGACTTGCTCTGGTCTATCCATAATATGGTTATCATCTTGTGGCAATTTCTGTGGTCTACTGATTTGATTTGATTATTCTCTTCTACTGTGTGGGTTCTGGGGCCCCGCTGCAGAGAAGACAAGAAAAGACCCGCTGCCTCCCCAACAAGCATGTCGTAGGAGTCGACCAATAGAGGGCTTCCTTCAAAGTCGGAGTGCATCTGCCAAAGCGGCATGGAGCGACCACTGCACACAAATAAGGGAGTAAAACGGATTTACACGTAAAACGGAGGCCTTGGCACAATACCAAAGTCTAAATGGACAAACAACCAGGACCTTCTGCCAAAGCTTACAATCGGTACACACCAACACAAAAAAGACAAAATAAAGAACTAAAATAAATCCACACAGTTGTTAGTAGACTATTTCACTTCTCAAAAAATAAAAACTAACCTGCAAATGATGCATAGCCCTGCCAGCACCTTCTTTGGTTTTAAAGTTCACAAAAGCACAATATTTTTCAGGTAAAGGGCGTACACTGGTCACCTGACCATATCTGAAACAAAAGGTACTGCTGTAAAGGGAACAATTTACATAGGATCACAAATAAACTCTTTAACTGGGATGGAATTATGCTGGTTGATGTCATAATTGCTTTACTTCCCTTGTCATTTATGAGGCCCTATTTTAGGAGGAGGGGTAATGGGTAGTATAGACTTACTGCCCCTTAACTTTAAAGAGTACAAATGGTGCAGACAATTCAGTCTGGCTGTAAACCACAACATGCCAACCACATTTTTAATGGTGAATGCAGAAGAAAGAGAAGAAGATCATGGTTTTCATTCATAACAATACAGACCCTTAACAAGATATTGTAAAAACGTGTCTAATTAAGAGCTCGCCAAACACAGTGTTGGGCTGAAATTGGGCAGATATCCCAGCCAAGCTGTAAACCCCAACACCATGTGCAAACTGTCTTTTTTAAAGACGAATGCATAAGTAAGGAAGATAATTGTTTATCCTCAGTACTGCAAGGAACATTTATTTTCCAGTAAGAGAAATTTTGTATGTGACTGACAATTGTTCTTCCTGACACTGCCCATATAAGAAACACTTTGAATGATATGTTATCATGTCAGTATCATTGCACAGTAAGCATCCTATAAAAGTTCAGATCTTTGATGAAGCACTATCCCAAAATAACTACAGACTGTCTCCATGAGAAGTTAAGTTTTAATGTCTCCTATCTTAGCACCAATATGCTTCACTCCAAGGTTGTGTAATCGTGTTAGGGTCATAAATTCAGCACTATTCACCAGCCTAGTCCATTCAGCAGTGATACTAGCCCTGTCTGTGCATCTTAAAGCAGGCAGTGCTGCAGTATATGCCAGCTTGTCTGTTCATTTCTTATCTTTAAAATCTTCAGATATGGCAATTCTTTTCTTTATTTCTGTGTTACAACTTAATGTTACTGTGTAACAAGCTACTGAAAGCACTTGACCTATTTGCATAATACTGGTGATAGATTAATTAGTGTCTCCAAAATAGCGAAATGGCAAATAAAAAAGACTCAACACTACACAAATGCATAAACAATGAAGCACAATGAAAAATGATGTCTCCTATCAGAAGACTTTTTATCAACATAAATAAATAGTTAACCGTTTCATATTTTAACACACACACTGCATTACACATTTAACATACACATTTTAACCCACATTTCATATTATAACTTGTACATTACACACTTACCATATGTTTCAAAGTTTACCAGACGTTTCATACTTTATCTCTCATATTTTAACACATGGCTCACACTTTAACACACACTTAACATTTTAACCCATACACTTTCACATGCTCATTTCACATTTTAACATACAAATCACATTTTAACACACATATCACATTTTAACATGCACATTTTACACCTTAATTACATCTCTCATGTTAACACGCACACATCTCAAATTCTAACCCAGACACATATACCCAAGAACTTACTTTGAAAACAGCTGGGTTAATCGCTTTTCTGTTACTGTCGGCAATACATTTCCAACCCACAGTGCTGTTAAACCTTCAGGATTGTTTGGACTGGATAAAACAGACAAACTGTATGAACAATTAAGATTAATAACCATATCAATATATTATTTCAGCCAATACATCATGGTAACAATCATTACAAAATTAAATCATTAAACAAGTTAGAAATGTGTGTTACATATGGATTACAATTCAAGTTTAGAGGTGACACCAAGGAATCTCCACGGTGAAAAACCCTTTACATTGCACTCTGAAGGTCTTGGGTTCAGTTGCGATCCCTGATGATTGGTTTGCGAGTACAGGTGACTGGTAGACACCCTGATGACCATCACTAGTGCAATAAAGTTTTGTGCTCTGGTTGATGCAGACATCCACTCCGCAAAGGGATTGAGCCATATGGTATAAAACTGTGCAATGAAGTAGATGCCTTAAATTCTTAAAGCAGGTGCTACAATGGGGCTGTGAAGTATCAAGACTTCGCGCATAGTAGACTATGGCACAATGTGGTGGGGTGACCATGTTCTTTCCTCGTCATCTTTGCCTCCCACATAATTTCCATAACATATTGGTCTACCTGGTACCAAGTTTGTCTGATGGAGGTTACATGCAAAGATGAATTTAGAGGAAATGAAGAATGCCGCAGGTGTGCACTTCCCACATAACCATTTCTGTAAACAAAACGGCAAAATCCTATGTTACTAGGGTTCCTATTTACGAGGTCTATTTTTAAAAGTCAACAGAAACACTGTGGCATATATAGGAAAGTATAAATGCAATTTACAGTTAAAACTTGCTAACCGCTCATGTAACTGGCGGTTTCATACCATATCTGTTACACGCTTTAATGTATCTAAATTAGACAACACACTAAAAACCTCACTATTTCTATCTAAAAGATCTGAACAATCACAAATATAACTTTAACATTCTTATATTCGGCTATTCACACATTCACCTTCACCGCAATAGGGCCAGTAGAAACCTCACAAAAACCCAAATGTTGTGAAACAATTGAGACTGACTGCAGTCTTGACCAAACCAATAGCATACACACACAATAAATGCACAAGGTAGCTGTCAGAAGTTCAGCCGGGAAATTCAGCCCGCCACTAAAACTGCAGTTCATCATCACAGTAAGCAGCAATTACAACAAATCAGCAGTTGCCCACGCAACAAATCACATAAGACACCAGCAGTCCTGAAGCAACAAGCCAATCGCCACTGTTCCGAATCTGCAGTCCAAAATACTTATCACCTTGGGCACATTCTTTTGGTCTGCCACTAAAACTGCAATTCATCATCAAAGATAAGCAGCAGTTACAACAAATCAGCAGTTGCCCACGCAACAAATCGCATAAGACATCACCAGTCCTGAAGCAACAAGCCAATCGCCATCTTCCTGAATCTGCAGCCCACAACACTCATCACCATGGCACATTCTTTTATCAACACATCCTCAGACATGTTTTCTGGCCATACTTCCAATATTCTTGTTAAACTAAAACTAAAAGTATATGATACTTCCCATGCAATTGTCGCACCATGCATATCGTGCTTGACTAATCTATCCACAGAAAAAACGGTACTGCCAGCCATGTTTACTTTCCAATGTATTTCCTGGTACCCAATTTTAGGCTGGGTTGACATGCAAACCTATGTGAATTTAAAAAAAAAAACCTGTTGCAGATTCCTCTTCTTTATTAGCACTTGGAAAGGGCAGTTGACACACTGTGCTGTGGTTCACAGCTAGATGGCAATATTTGCACCTTTCAGGCCCAGCATATCCAATATCCACAAAACCTTCATTAGTCACCTTTATGGGATGCTTAAAGAGCAGTGGTCCAACCCCCCCCCCATGCAGATTTTAACGTAATGACCTTACCTTCCGGTCAGCAGGCAAGTGTCCAGCGACTGCCCTACCATAACTCCACAAATTCTCACAAGCCTTCTAACATTTCTTTAAAATGTTAAATATTTAGAAGAAAAACAAGAGATAGATAAAAAAAAATAATCAAATAATTATTAATCATAATTTTCTTAAGTTACAAAAAAAAATTTAAAATATGCAAGATTGAAACTTACTCCATTTTAGTATCAGCAGCATGTGTAAGATGTGGAGGCACTAAAATAGGCCTGTGCAAATGAAAGTTATTTTCTTCCTCGTCAGATATATGTAGATTACTGAAAGTACTGTCAGCTGAAAATTAGAGTTTCAAACATTAACACAATTTATGACATGAATCCAAAACATGAGCAATGTTTAAATAACATGTAAATAAATATAATTATTCTTCTTTCTTCTATCCTACAATGCAGAATACCTTCAGCTAACTCTCATACCAAGCTACCCTTCCTTCCTTCTGAGTTTGTCCTTAAAAGGGTGGTCTGCAGGCTATGATTTACAGCAAGGCTGCAATATGTATACCTTTTGGCCCAACACATCTGATTTTAGCAAACCGCTAGTTAGTTGCCTTTGATGATGTAAAACTGCCTGCTAAACACACAAACCGCCACAAAATGCTGGGGCTGGTTCTGAAACGTCCTGTAAAGGATACGCAACCAAGGTGTTGTCCGGGGGAAGAGAGGCTGTGGGTATATTGCCCATATCCCAACAGGGCCAATGAATCCACACGGGGAAGACTGGCACAATATCTGCACCTTTCAGCCCAATACTTTACATTTCAGCCATCATAAATTCAGTAGCATTTTACAACATGCTTGTTAAGAGACGGTGGCTCAATTAATCCCCCTCCCCCTCCAAACAGAGCCCACCTGTATCCCACACCTGGACCAAGTTTTCCCATTTTTTGCAATCGCCTACAGATCCCCTTGGTGTCACCTTATGATTATTTATATTATTTTATTTCCATTATCCTCAGAATTGTTCAGGACTAGCCCGGATGTATGCAGCTGAGGTTTTCTATGCTACTGGGTAGCCAGCCTCACAATAAAACTCACGAGCTCACTAAGAACAAAAAGCAGAAGAAGAAGAAAAGCAAGCAGAAGAAGAAGAAGCAGAAAATGGAAGTGTGGAAGGAAGGAAGGAAGGAAGGAAGGAAGGAAGGAAGGAAGGAAGGAAGGAAGGAAGGAAGAAGGAAGGAAGAAAGGAAGGAAGGAAGGAAGGAAGGAAGGAAGGAAGGAAGGAAGGAGAAAAAGAAAGGAGGAGAGATACTATGATTACATCAATAATACAATTATGGCGAGTCCAACTCTCATCTGAGGCTGAATTTTGTTCACTATGAAAATACAACTTCAATATTGGTAGAGCTTCATTTTTTTTTTTTTAACGTATCCAGAAACCATGAGTTGTAAACCCTTTGGCTCGGTACTATGGATATCGCAACCCTTCGGCGTTGATTCCATTATAGGTACCGTTAATCTGGGAGAAATGTGGCTTTTCTGCCTACCCCCGGGAGTGAACCCGGACCACAAGGAGTTCGTCACCCGGCCTCCGCGAAAGTCAGGTTTAACCAACTTCGCTAGAGAGCCGGGCAATAGAGCTTCATAAAAGGAGAACCAGAAAATGTTCTGTGAGATCAGACAGCCAACAGAGTACTGACCATTCCATTCAATAAGTGAAGTTCATCATGTCACATCACAGCTTAATATGCTACAGTGACATCCAGAGAATGTCAGTCCATTTATTCCTTAATCTTTGCTCTGCTTTTGAATACATCCATAAAATGATGATGGAAATGTTCCATTCTTCTTCTACAACACCCCCCCCCCCCCCCACCACACACACACAAAAGAGCAGTTGGAATAGTGTATTGTGGCTTACAGCTAGGCTGTGACATCTGTGCCTTTTGTCACATCCAATTATAGCAAAACGCTCTACTGATACAAAACAAATTCTTACAGACACTAGCTAGAAGTGAGTCCATAGCTGCTTGCACAGACCCATGTTTCTTTATAGCTGCTTCTGACTGCGAAGATGAGAAGCCCATATCCTGAAAATTGAAAAACAAATATATATTACTGAAACACGCCAGTCTAATAAATTATGAGAAATATACCAAATAAGAAACGTTTTGAATTCCTTGACATTATACATAATTAGTAGAGAAAAATAGTACAATAATCATTATCAAGTTATTTGAAATTACCCACATACAAAAAAAGGGGTAAACTGCATGTAATTAGCTTTTGTAGTGTCTTTTTATTTACTTATTTTCAATGATTTAGTCATATATTTTAAAAAAAAAATTTAAAGCGACAGGAAAAAACTGATTTTAAGTGACAGAAAAAAAAACTGATTTTAAGTGACAGAAAAACTGATTAAGTAACAGTCTAAATTTGTAACTTCCAATGACAGGGACATATATCATAGGACACTGTCTTCAGTTTACAAAGTGTCTTCCGTTTACACGCTGTCTTCAGTTTACACACTGTCTTCAGTTTACAAACACGATATATTGATTATGCTATGGTATGCTCTTGATTTTGTGGCTCAGTTTCCAGCTGATGGATAAAATGATCTATATAATTTCCACTCACAACAGCATTGTTGCATTCATTTACATTGACATCATCACTGCTATTCAGTCAATCCTCAACGCCATTGAAATTTCTTCTTAAGGTCCACACCATAAGACAGGACATCAGGTATCTCCCCAGCCTCTTGTCATGTGTTCTGATAATAATTTCACATACAGCTGTTTCTTAATGGGACATCATCATCTCATTTAGCATCTTTCCTTAAGGTCTTTCCATGCCTTTCTAACTCTCAAATTTTCACACTGTCAAGTTATATACCAGCTTTCGTCTGTAGTGCTCTTAGAACATTACCAATCTTTTTCTAGGCAGTTCTAAGCTGTCTCTTTCAAGATATCATTATTACTGTCAGCGTTATTTTCAGCATTACCCCACAAAACCTTTAAAATCCCGCAGAATGTTGACATTAGCATCATCGGTAAAAGCAACAACATAAAAAAGGACCCTTTTCCCACACCTTTCAGGTGTATTAGGTATATAGGGCTGGATCTACATTTTATAAAACAAACGGCACTTGAAGGGTGATGTGGTCAGCATCACGCCAGCAGTCTTTACTTCCCATGACTGCACCTGGTACCACCACTCAAGGCTGGGTCAACTTGGGAGCTAAGGTCATTTTTGGATTTAAAAAAGGTCCAGCCCCAGCATCATCAGTAATCAAAACTATTTTTTCTCTTCTTCTTCAGCATTCTGGGAACTTGGGGTTCACTGCTGCAGACATAACCCCACACCCCCCTTCCATGCATCTCTGTGATTTGCCTTTTCTTCTTTCAGTTGGTGACTCCAAGTATTGGCAGGCCTAACTGTCTATTATCTATCATCTTCTTGGTCGCCCCATGGCCTACCCCTATTCAACTCTTTTGTGAATACTTTCAATATGATCAACATGACAAACATTCTCTATACACTGAAACTGTTTTCCAGCTTACCATTAACTGACGAGTCCTCACATGAAAAAGTTCATTTACAGCATCATCACAATTTTTATCTAATTTTAACACTTGCAAAAAGGCCTTTTCTGAATCAGCATACATCTGAAACATAAAAAAAAAAAAGAATATTTCTGAAGCTTGATTTTATTTATTTCCAGTTTTTTTTCAGATTGAGTACTGCACAAAGTACCAAACTTTTCATAATTAAATAAATTAGATTGACAGTCACACAATATCTCTTATTTTTTCCACTAGGATTCACCTATGTTTTTCACGTTTTAATAGTCAGTAACATCTCCTTCCGACTTTTCCAAGTTAATAATGTTAGATTTTTCCGTTTCACATGTTTTTCACGGTTTAACAGTCAGTAACGTTTCTTCGCGTTCACCGGCTAAAAACTCTGGCGGAAGGTTCTGGTTGTTCATCCACTTCTGGGTTGCAGTCCTGTTCCAGAAACTGAGTGCTGCGAGTGCATCTGTTTTACAGATCTGACTCATTTGTATGCAGACTGCTGGTTCCTTGCCTCTCTGGCAGATGCACTCCGACTTTGAAGGAACCTCCCAGTTAGTCGACTCTTACAACAAGCTTTTGGGTAGGCGGTGGGTTTATTTTTGTTTTCCTTATAACAGGGTCCTGGAACCCACACAGGGAACAGTCAGTAACATATCCTTCTTTCTTTTCCTCTGACTAATATATAACCCCCACACCCCTTTTTCAGATTAATGTTTTTCACCTTGTTAACAGTAGGCAACAATAAATTATGTTTCTCTTTCCCCCTGATCCACATAAATTGTTCATATTTAACAGTAAAAAATAAGATCTCTCTCTCTCTTCCTCCCTCAGACTCACATATTTTCCACTGGCATTGCTTAAACACCATCTGATCACAGTAACTATATACTACTAGGCAAGTAGATAACATAAAATAGCTTCCATCTTTTTAGTGCTAAAACTTATGCTATTCTGCAATACAAGCAGTTATTAAACACTGACGACTTAAAAAACATGGACAAAAAGTATATATTAAAAAACACAGAGATGATGAAAATACATTAATCAAGTATCAGAAAGTATTGTGAACGGCACTCATAGAAAGAAGTAGAAAGGTAGAAGAACACACTAGACAACATAAAAATCCAAAGCTATAGTTACTGTGCCGGGAATTGAACCTGTCACCTCCAGACGGCGTCTGCGCCTCGCCATGAATACAAGTGCACTAAGATACATGGTCAACTAGGCACTCTGGAGGTGACAGGTTCAATTGCCGGCACGGTAACTATAGCTTTCGATTTTTATGTTGTCTAGTGTGTTCTTCTACCTTTCTACTTCTTTCTATGAGTGCCGTTCACAATACTTTCTGTTACTTGATTAATTCATAATATTTAACGGCCTCAAATGGTTCCCCCCCCCCCCTCTGTTTATTTATATGAAAATACATGTGCGATCACAAGAATCTTTTTCTTTAGCCTTTCGAGTCCTGGAGGTTAATTGCTACAGATTTCATCTGCCTCCATTCGTCTCTGTGATTGGCTGTCTTTTTCCAGCTGGTGATTCCAAGCGTTTGTAGGTATGCTGTGTATTAACACTCCACTATCTACTTGGTTTGCCGCGTGGTTTATTCCCATTCAACTCTTGTGTGTACACAGTTTTTGTTTCAGCTATAAGACAATCTCTTTATACTTTACAATTATTGCAGTCTATCAGTCCTCACGATGCCAGTAATTAGTGGTAATTTAAACAGATTATGAATTACAATGTCGCTTTTCACTGTCCGTTCTCAGCAGTTGACATCTTTGATTTATCAAAAAATAAATGCTCAGATATAGTATGTTACAAAGCTGAATCTTACAGCCTACAATAAATGTACACCTGGTTAAAAAGACTACTAAACGCAGTGTTTCATAAACTAAAGTGAAGGAAGCACTCAAATCCATTAATATTTAAAACAATTCTGTAAAATTCCTCTTCTGATGATACAAAATATCAACACTAAACTGCTTCTTACCTTTAAACCTGCTAAAGCTCTGCCTTTTCTAAAATATCCTTTAGGCCAATCTTTATCCAATGTTATTGCCTTTTCTGCATCCCTCAATGCTCTGAAATTGTAAAATAACAGTGCAGAACTTTTGAATCATAGTTTAACATGTAAGGGCATGTATTAGGGTTTACAGATAGGCTGTGATATCTGCACCTTTTGGGTGAACAAATTCAACTTCAGCACATTTTAATTAGTCTCTTTATCATCGTCTTCTTCTTTTGTTCGCCTGAAAAAAAGTTGTCTATATCAGCAATCTTGTCTCATTTAAATTTCACTGTTGTTGTTGATTCATTCAGTGGTCCATAGAGTTTACATTCCACTGTTGTTCTTTCTGGCCAAAAGGTTTGCCTTAATGTGTCAAATTCGGTGCAGGCCTGGAGTACATGCTCTGCTGTCTGGGGAACCTATCCACAGGTACACATGGCTGATACGCCTATCTTGAATTTTGTGTACATGTGGTTACGTAATCGGTTGTCTTGATCACCTAAAATGCAGCCCACTATTCCACACTATCTGATGAAGATCTTTCAAATTCAGATGATCCAGTACACTTAATTTGATGTTTTTATATATTGCAGGCCCATCCAGTCTGCCAAACTTTTGATTCCTGTTTTTCCTGGCCTGCATTATCTCCTTTTCCCTGGCACCAAGCCCTGTAGTGTGGTTTTGGAAGCACCACTCAATACTTTGTTATGTGTCTACACTATTGCATTTTGTGTCTTTTCCCTGGCACCAAGCCCTGTAGTTGTGGTTTTGGAAGCACCACTCAATACTTTGTTATGTGTCTACACTATTGCATTTTGGGTCTTTTCCCTGCAGGGATTTATAGCTACTGGTGTACTGATTAATTTAAATATCCACATAATTTGTTCTAATGCAATTAACTTTCAAAACCAACATATTTTTTCCACACACAAAAACTCAAAATCATGTGTTTTTTTTTTAAAGCTACAGCACTGGAACACATTTATATTAATGATATTGGCTCCCAGGTCGACCCAGTCTAAATGAGCACCAGTTAAAATCATGGAAAGGAAAACTTTTGCAGCATGACGCTGATCCCACCACCCACCAAGTGCAAATTAGTTAGTTAGTTATTCTTTCCTCTTGAGCCTACGGCGGCACATAGGGTAGAGGTCATAGATCTCCTTGTCTGACGGTTCGTTGCCTTTTAGGTCCTGGATGCTGGTTAGGTCCATGGCCAAGCCTTCCCTGATGATGGTTCTAGGTAGAGTCTCTCTTGGTTTTCCCAATTTTTCTTTCCCTTCCGGTGTCCATATAAGGGCTTAATGGAAAAGTCTTGTCTTATCCATTCTGAGAACATGACCGTTGTAGTTCCAGCGGCGCTTTCTTATAAAACTGGATACATTATCTTTCTTGGTCTCTTGTCTTATTTGCGTACTGGATCTGAAATCTGCCCGGTGGAGATTTAGTATTCCTCAAGACATCTGTTCTCAAAACTGTCTAATTTTTTTTTTTTATCAAGAGCTACCGTTGCTTCCCAACTTTCCTATCCATAAGTTAGCACTGAAATCACGCACAAGTTGAAGATCTGGAGTTTTATGTGATTGCTGAGTGTCTTTAACTTCCAGATGTTTAACAGTTTGCAGAGGGCACTAGAAACCAGTGCAATTTAGATTACATTTCTGGGGCTGAGTCCCCTACAGATGTCATATTACTACTTCCTAGGTATGTAAAGCTGTTGATTTTTTTTCAAGAATGTAACTGTTTAGTTTGATGTCGTCTGAACCTATTTATTGGGAAGATTGATAATTTTTGCAGTGTTAATTTGAAGACCGATTTGTCCTGAAACATTTGTTTGTTTTCTCTCAGATATATGGATGCATTAAACTCAAAAGCTCTATGTCGTCAGCAAGGTCTTCCAGGATGTTGTCAACACATATCTATGTTGGTTGTGTATTTGCGCATGACCCAGTCGATTGCTATTCCAAAGAACATCAGTGATAGAACATAGCCTTGTTTCACTCCTGTTTTCAATGGGAACCAGTGGCACATGAGGCTTCAGAGAGGACTTTCCATGCTTTCCTGTCCTGTGCAATCTTCAGTGCAGTTTCCATTGTCAAAGATGTCGCACTCAGGTCACTTTCCATCGTTCGTCTCCATGTTGTTTTTGGGCGCCCCTGTTTTCTTTTTCCCTCTGGTGTCCATGTGAGAGCCGTTTTGGCAGGTATATCAGGATTCATTCTCATAACGTGGCCAAGCCATTTCCATGTTTTATTTTAGAAGGATTTTATGACACTGATGAATTTGGTAGGGAAACCAATAGATTTTAAGTAGTTTCCAAAGTGTGGGACGGTGTATACTGTTGAAAGCAGACTGGTTTAGGAGAATATGAGTTGCCTAACATTCAAATGCCAAAAACACCCCTGTCGTAAAAAGGGTAATTTACTTATTTAAGTTTAAACCTGGAACACTGGTAAATGGATTTCATATTTTAGGTAGCTAATTTTTCACCTATGCTAAAATATGAGGACGCAAAACTTTTGACAATTAATTGTACTGAGATAATCATTATAAGGTGGTCACTCTAAGTAGACAAACCCTTCCATTTGCTCTGTTTGTGTGTGAATTAGTACTGGTTACACACAACACCAATTTCACCAAAATATCAGATAAGGCAGATAAGACTGTTTCACAGTCAAGATACTCGGTGTCTGCTTCCCATCAGGTCCCTAAATAAGAACACATTACTACCTTGCTATTTACTTATACATTATTTACTTGTTGCATACTTACTTTTCATACTGTTCTATTCTATCATAACAATAAGATCTATTTCCAAAAAATCTGGGGAAGAAAACAAAAATTTAAATATTTTAAAGGTGCATAATCAAACAATGGAATGATATCATCTGTGTGCTTTCAAAGCAAAGAAACATTTTTCAAACTTCTTTGTTGTTTACCTGTAAAAATGTGTTGTGGTTTACAACCAAGTTATGATATACAGGTCTTTGGCCCAACATACCTGATTTCAGCTAACTCCTAATTAATCACATTTTACGATTTGCTTTTTTGTTGTAAGGGTGGGAAGACCCCAAAATGGGGCCCCATAATCTATATAGGGAATTTTCCAATAAAAGATTACAATAAACAGAGACATGTAGACAATGACTGAAAAGAGAAAGATAATATAATTGATATATGTGTCATTAAACAATAACAGCATATTTCTAGTATCATTTCAATATTGAAGAAACATTTTCAAAACAATTATTGTTTTAAAATACAGAGACAAGTTGACAATTGTTGAAATGTATGCAGAAAATTATACTGTACGGCTCGGCTAGAAATATAAGAATGAAAGTTTACAGGAATGGCAAAAAGGATTGTATGAACAAGCCATATGTCTCAGAAAGGCGGATAACAGGAACAAGGTGTTCATACAAAACATATTCAGCACCAGCCTGCAGACTCACTGTACTGTTAACTAAACTTTGTTAACTAAAAAACAAACTAAACAGGAGAAAAAAATCATGCCCTTTGTACCAAACAAGGTCGTTCTGTAAAACAAGGTCTATTATCCACCAATGGTTTGGTAACATGCATATGTTACTAGGCTTATATTTGTGTAGGTCAACCAGTGCTTGAGAAGTGATGTAGTCAGCATCATGCCTGTCACCTTTCTTCCCAGGACTTTACCTGGTACCCATTTTATGCTGGGTCCACATTGCAACAAAAGTAAAGGACCCTTCTTCACATCCTCAGGCGTATTAGGCATATAAGGCTAGACCTATATTTTATAGACCAACAGGCACATGGTGGTAGATGTGGCCAGCATTATGCCAGACGCCTTTACTTTCCAGTACTTGTAGCAGGTACCCACTCAAAGCTGGAATGAGCTGGGAGTCAAAGTCATTTTTTTGAAAATAATCCCACTCCGTCAGGACCCGAACCCCAGATCTATAGGCAACTATCTAGATGCTACATCACGGGAAGTTCCCAACTTGGAACAAAGAACATTTAAAAAAAATTATTCTGAATCAATAGGAATCTAGCCACCCAAGAAGACCTTCAGGTAAGTCATTGAGCGTCCAGCCGTTACACAGTTAGGGCTCCCATTCTACACAATAAACTGAACAAGATTTGTTAGACAAACAAATTCATGAAGAAAAGTAATGACAACAGTACATACCTAAAATCTGTTGGGTCTAAACTAATGGCCTCAGTAAACAGCTGTATTGCAGATTTGTATTGCCCAACTTGTGCCATCTCATTTCCCCTAACTGCAAGCAGAAATAATGATTTGTTAATATTTTAATAAACCACAATATATTTAGAAAAGAAATTATTAGCTGTACAAATTAAATGACAATATTCCCCTACAAAAAAAAAAAGCATTTGGATTAAAGCTACATTAAACATTTATAACAGGGTAACGTTCAGAGGACCAACCAGAATTTAAAATTTAGTATTCAAGAAAGTAAAAGAAAAACACCTCGTCTCAGAAACTGAAATATTTTGGCAATGTCAAAAGCCACAGTGGATTGGAAAATAAAATTATACAATGTAGGCATAGTACCAAGAAAGATAGGCAGGGCCGACCAGCACAGCATACAAGTAACATCTTGGGTAGGAAAGTACATGAGGTGAGAGAGCTGACGAGATATCAAGTTTCGGCTATCCTGCGAATAACGGCCACATATGATGGCGGCCCAAAAAAAATAACCTGACAGGGCCTCAATCACATGTATATTGTGGACTTCTTTCCAGCAAATATGCCGCGGTAAAAGTAAGATAAATTTTGGGCGATGGTGTCGCAAAACACAATAAATCACCAAGTTACACTGGCCGCAGAGAGTTTCCGCCGCGCTGCACGGGCGCAGAGGGGGGAGCTAGACTAAATGGCTAGGACTCATGAGCAGCAGCTACCGCATCGTGCAGCTTCCTTATTTTATTTGCTCGTGAGCCCCAGCCATCTAGTTGTGCCGCGCGTAGCGGCGCGGGGGATTCTCTTGGTGGTGAAAACTGTGTTTCCAATCCGGCACTAGTCGCGCCTTGTTCCAATCATATTTAGCAAAGTTTCAATGGCGCCACAGCCACAAAGAGCAGATTTCTGGGCACTATTTGCAACTTCTGTTCCACAATTTTCAGATATAAAGGCCTCAATTATCGATAAGTAGTCGATGTCGTCATTTTCCCTTTTTTCCCCTTTACTTATTATTTTCGAGTTCAAGTTGTTGAATATTTACAACACATCACCACAATATGTGGCCGTTATTCGGAGGATAGCCCAAGTTTCTTTTAGGCAGATAGCGAGGTTTGAACAACGGATCAACATCATTCTCATGGGTAGTAACCCATAAGTGCTCCATTCTTCCTCCAACTCAAGTCTTAGTCCGAAGAAACTGAGCATAGTCCACAGGCTCTGTAGCACCGGTGAGGATCCTGAAATACTTTGGGTAGATTTTCAACTGCAAAATTTGCCCTGGCAGTACCGTTAGGCTACTCTTTTCGATTTCCAACTGACAAGGGATTTTTTACGTGCGCAACAATGCACATGGACGTCCTATCTCACTACCCAGAGACCAGAGGAAAATACTAGAAGTCCAAGTCCACGGGAAAATATCCCAGCTCTTACAGGGGATTGAACCCGAAACATCTAGCACTCAAGGCGGACACCATGCCTCAAAACCACGAATACCACTGAGATGAGAGCGACATTCAGCAAAGGACCTGCTTCATGACAATGAAATTTAAAAAAAAACAGAGAACCATTTTTTAACGTTAGTGGCGCGCTGGGCATAGGATGCTAGACTCATATATTGACAGACCAACTGGCACACTGTGGGTAATGCCAGCCGTCTTTATTTCTCAGGATATTACCTGGTACCTATTTCAAGCTGGGTCAATCTACTTCAGAAAAGCATTTAATAAACTGCGAAACAAAATAAGAAAGCTGCATTCTTTAAACAGACTAGATAAACATTAATGAATTTATGAAACATAATCATTAAAGCAGATAGAACAGAAAGTTAACATTCTAATCATTACAAGAAAACTTACCTGCTAACTGTCGACTTCGAAGTACTTTTACATCTATATTTTCGTCAGCCTAAAGACATGAAACACATATGCAGTAAACTCCTTTACTTCCTTAAAAATATCTTCCTAAATTGTGTATGCTGCTATTTAAAATAATTTAACAATGTACGAAGTGAACAGAATACTAATGTAACTTTTAACAGCAACTAGCAAGAACTAAATACTTAACACTTTCTTCTTCTGCTGCTGTGTCTGTCCTGTGTTGTGGTTTACAGCTCGGCTGTGATATCTGCACCCTTCAGTCTAAAATATCTAATCTCAGCCAACCCTTAGTGACCTTGTTAATAGGTAGAGGATCTATTCTTCTTTTCCCCTCACAATAAAACCCACACTGCATTGGGACCTACTTTACAGTGTGTGTGTGTGTGAGAAAAAGAAAAAACAAGAATATATATATATATATATAGAGAGAGAGTAGAGAGAGAGGGGGAAGGGAGAGGAGGGGCAGAGAGAGAGGGAGGAGGAAGGGAGGGAGAGAGAGAGAGAGAGAGAGAGAGAGAGAGAGAGAGATTGAACCCATTAACTGCCACACATTGCTGGCAGAACTCCCCATAAATTCTGGCGGTCCATCCACTTTTAGACTAATATTATTTCAGAACTTAAGATTTGTATGCATGTCCATTGTACAGATCTGGCTGATTTGCGTGCAGGCTGTTGGTTTCTGCCTCTCAGGCAGATGTACTCTGACTTCGAAGTGAATATCCCCAATTTCTAGTTGTCTTGTACGATATGCAAAATGGGGCACGGAAACCTACATGACACAAAGTGAAAATATAAAGTAAACAAGTGAATTATGATACCAACATGAAACTAGAAACTGGTGGAACTAGTGACAATAGTGGACAACAGTAGTATATAACATAACTGTTTTCTCCTACTACATCCACTACTTTAGGGACTACTAAAGGCAATCATTCTATCCTAAAAAAGGCTGTTGTTGCAATACTAATAAAAAGTGTGGGAATAGCAATTACTGAATAGGTGGTAAATTAGAATAAGTGACTCATTTCAAAAATTTAGGATCTATTTTAAGTGACTTAGTGTCAAGACCAGAAATTATGTCTATGATTGCCCAGACAACATCAGTCCTTGCCAAGCAGCAAACATTATAAAAATCTAAAAAATGTTCATGCTAAACTAAGATCTGATTGCTCAAAGCACTAGCTATTAGTACATTCACAAATGGCTGTAAAAAGTAGACCTTAACAGCTGAACTTGAAAGAAAGATACAAGCATTAGAAATGCAATGATTCAGAAAATTCTTGGCATATCATTCTAAGACCGAACGAAGAAGTTCGCCATAAAATTATACAGCACATTGGCAACAAAAAGTTTAGATCATCCCTTTACGATGTTAGGGCTTTCAGAGGTGCCGATTTTTTTACTGACCATTTCCTGGTGATAAGTAAAATCAAGTTGAAACTAAAAAGATCTATAACATCTTATAATCATAAAAAACCAATATAATGTAGGCTTTCTCAGAGATAAAGAAATTAAGGAACAGTTCTCAGTTACGGTCTCTAATAAGTACCAGGTGTTGCAGCAGTTAGCCGAAGATGTCAACACAGAAGTCTGCTGGGATCAGATCAAAGGAATCTGGAATGAATCTTGCATAGAAGTTCTTGGCAGGAATCTGGAATGAATCTTGCATAGAAGTTCTTGGCAAGAAAGAAAGGAAACATAAAGCATGGATAACACCAGAAACCATTAAACTGATTGAAGATAGGAAAAGTAAAAAGGCAGAATTAAACAATAGCAAAACTAGAGCTGCTAAGCTAAAGCTAGAGCTCAGGAGAATTACACAGAAGCCAACAAGGAAGTTAGGAGGCATATAAGGGCAGATAAAGTGAAATATCTAAATGATCTAGCACAAGAAGCGGAGACAGCAGCAGCAAAAGGAAACCTCAGAGAACATTACAGTAACACAAGAAAATTAGTAGGTAAATATAGTCAGCCAACTGGATCAATCAAAAATAGTCAAGGAAAGGTACTTACTAACACTAAAGATCAAATGGACAGATGGGTTGAATATTTTGAAATGCTTCTAAATAGACCAGGCCCAGAGGTTACCCAAAATATCCAGCCTTTAGAAATGGAACTGGATATCAACTGTGAGATACCATCCAAAGAGGAAATTAGAAAAGCTATAAATCTTCTTAAGGAAGGAAAGGCGTCAGGCCCAGATGGTATCCCAGCTGAAGCCATCAGGACCAAGATAAACACATCATCAGAATTGCTACATAGATTATTCAGTAAAGTCTGGGAGACCGAAGAAATACCAGCAGACTGGAGAGAAGGATATCTTGTGAAACTGCCCAAAAAAGGTGATCTACAGGAGTGTGGAAACTATAGAGGAATTATGTTGCTGTCAGTTCCTGGAAAAATATTAAGTAGAATTATTTTGGAAAGATTAAAAGATGCTTTGATAAAATGCTAAGAGATGAGCAGGCAGGTTTTCGGTCAAACAGATCCTGTACTGATCAGATAGCCACATTACGTATTATAATAGAGCAAAGCATTGAACTGAACTCACAACTTTACATTGGATTTATAGACTATGAAAAAGCATTTGACAGCATTGACAGGGAATCTCTCTGGAAATTGATGGGGCACTATGGAATCCCACAGAAAATTATCAACTTAGTAAAGGCAACATATAAAGACATGAAATGTCGAGTTCTTCATGAGGGAAAGCTAACAGATGCATTTGAAATAAAAACAGGTGTGCGACAGGGATGTCTTTTGTCGCCTCTCTTATTTTTACTGGCTATAGACTGGACTATGAAAACAGTAACTGCTAACACCAAAAATGGAATTCAGTGGACCCCTACAAACAGCTTGATGATCTGGACTTCGCTGATGATATTGCCCTTCTGTCCCATTTACGGAATCAGATACAAGATAAATTAAATATACTTAATGCGAGATCACAGCAGCTTGGTCTGAAAATCCATAAAGGAAAGACAAAGATAATGAGAATAAATCAGGCAAATAGTAATGTGGTTTCTCTTAATGGCACCCCACTCCAAGACGTGGAGTCGTACACCTATTTAGGCAGTAATGTAGATAAAGATGGAGGAACTGATAGAGATATTAAAATAAGAATACAAAAGGCAAGAGGGGCTTTCATAGCACTAGGGAATTTGTGGAGGTCAAAAGAAATTAAAAGAAATACTAAACTAAAAATTCCTAATTCTAATGTCAAATCAGTACTATTGTATGGGGCGGAAACATGGAGAACAACCAAGGCAATTACTATTAAATTACAGACATTCATTAACTGGTGCCTGCGCAGAATAGAGGGAATAAAATGGTATGATAGAATAATTAATGTAGAACTTTGGGAGAGAACTAAACAGGCTCCAGTGGATCAGGAGGTGAGGAAAAGACGCTGGCGTTGGATAGGGCACACACTGAGAAAACAGGAGAACAGCATAACTAGAATGTCTTTGCATTGGAACCCACAGGGGCATAGGAATAAAGGAAGGCCAAAAAACACATGGAGAAGAGAGGTGGAGAATGAGGTTAGAAAGATTGGGAGGACATGGGGAGAGCTCCATGTAATGGCGAAGGATAGAACGACTTGGCGTGAGTTGGTTGAGGGCCTATGCTCCATTGGGGGATAGAAAGGCAGAAGAAGAAGACATTGGCAACTATGAACCTTTTTTTAACTACAGTGAAAAGTCAAAAAATGCAATGGTATGGACATGTAATAAGATTCTACGGCCTCTTAGAAACAATACTGTAGGGCTCAGTAGAGAAAAAGAGGAGAACAGGCAGACCAAGAAAGACCTGGTTACAAAACCTGACTGACTGGACAGGCCTTAGGCATGCAACCATGAAGTCCATTGCAACTGACCACCAAAGGTGGTGAGAGCTGATCAGACAGTCAGCAGAAACTGGTGACCCAACGAAACGTAGTGTTACAGGATGATGATGATAATGAATAGGTGGTCTCAAACTTCTGTGGCCACCACTGTACTTCAATGATCATGAACAGAAGTAAGAATTAGGTGGTCTGCTTTATTATAGTTTAAGACATGAATGCTTTAGCTCTGTTACTTGTCCTTATCTTCCTTTTTTTTTGTGTGTGCATCTCTTATCTTGAACTTCCGGTAGACTGATGCACAGTGTGACTAAAAATGGTCATCTTCATGTTGACCGGCTGTAAACTCAGGCAGAAAATTCTGGTTGTTGATCCAGTTCTGGACCACTTCCTGTTCCTGAACTAGAGTTTTGGGGCACACATCAGTTTTACAGAGATCTGGGGGGGATCTATTCTTTTCTCGCCACAATAGGGCCCTGGAACCCAAATATAATAACTTGACACTGCATATAGTAACTTGACACTGCGAGTTGTGTATTTCAGTAAGAAGGATTCATTTTTGTGCTTCACTGTATTTTGATATAACATTGCACTAATGCACACGACAAACAATTGTTTTAAATTTAACAACTCTGCTGGTTATCAGTGTTTTTTATTAATCTGACAATTAAAAATATTACGTTAAATTCAATTTTTTTAATTTCTTTTATAAACAAAAGATTATTACCTTTATTTCCTTATTTTAAAAAAGTGAAAGATATACAATTACAAGATACAATTTGTATTACAAATTCCACAATATGTCATAAGAGAAACAAATTCAAGTTGCAAAAGTATGCTGCTGTTCAAAACATGGAGATTTGTGAATATAAAATAGTGACTGGCCTCTGTGATTTGCTATTATGAATATGGTTTTATAATTCAAAATACCCTGTCAGACCAGCTGCAGGCAATTTTGAAGCAGAAACCTATTACTGATTTTGACAATGGAATGAGCACCAACCACTTAGAACCAATGGCAAACTACAACATAGAAAATAGTCCAGTAAAACAATAACCAGCCAACCTGGGGTTGGTTTGCAACAAACTTTTTTAAAAACGTGGTGGATGCAGACACGAGGGCGAAGATTAATAACATATGTAAATGAAAGACAAAAAGCTTAAAAATGGTTTGTTAGTCATGGATGCTGAAATATTAAAATCAAACCTCATCATCACTCTTCTTGTCTCCAGTTTTTTCCCTTTTTCTTGTCTGATCTTCCCCTAGTCCGCTCTTTTTCTTTTTACTGACAACTTTGGTGAAGAAAGCCGATGTTGGATCAAACTGCTGTTAGTGTATAACATGTTTGTTAGAAACACTGCAGAAGAACCCTTAATACAATCATGTAAGCAATGTCCACAAGATATTTAAATAATGCAGACATACACAATACATTGCCCAATTGTTACTGGCTGACACATTTTGCTGTATCTTTTCAGGTGCATTGTTCTTCTGAAAGTCCACGTCATGTGGAATTGGTAGTAATGTCTATCCATAACTTTCTATCTTATGTACTTTCTTTCAATTCTGACACAGGTGACCTTCCATGCCATGATGTCAAACTGTTCAGCATCTTATCTATAGGTCTTCTTCTTTCCCCCCTTCAACTTACCCACCAGCATAATATAATCAAGTTTGTTCTTCATGATATGGCCAACAAATGTAAACTGTCTCTTTCTGATGTGGGCAATCAGTTCTCTTTGTAAGTCAATTCCAAGATGTTTTAATTATCCTTTTCAGCTGTTCAGGGTATTTTCATCATTCTTCTATAAAACTCCATAACTTTTCGCCAATCGTCCAACATGCAAAGTTGTGTAACATACTGTCTGTGTCTGCATTATCTAAATTTACAAGCAGGAAAACAATGTTCTGAATCCACAAGATAGCTTAGCTTGCAAGCTATCAAAACTAATGATATGTGTGCATTTCCAGTGTCAGCAAGTTCTCTGTTATTTTCGAATTAGTATATGAAAGAACTGCCCATTTAGTTAGCTTTTATGTAAATGATTATCAAAATGTAAAAACAAAATATAAGAGCAAGTATAATCCTGATATTATTATTATTATTCAAGACAGCATAATACTTACTGTGTCATCATCCAATGAGGTATCTCTGAAAAGATAGAGAGAAAAAAATGTGTGGTAAAAATTAGAAAGGGTACAATACTGAACAATTTATTTTATCTGTGTAGGCTTTGAATGTGTGGTTCAGTGGCTTAGAAGTTAGTGAATGCATTAACACTTTCATGATCCCTGAGTACGAGTGTTTAATCTCTGCAGTGGACAGTTTATATAGAAAGAAGAAAGAAACATTCCTGTGGTTTTCAGACAGTAGTGTTAGTGTCCAGCCATGGAAGAGATCTAAGGCCCTACTATGTAATATACCCAAAGACATCGATAGGTACACTGTTGCTGTGTAAACAACAAAATTTTTTAAAGTTTCACATATGCAGGTGGTCTATTCCTAAGGAACCTAACGAGTGGGGAGTAAAGAAAAGAGCAACTATTATGATGCTGTGAACTGCCTGCCAAACAGTATCTAAATCACTACTTCATCATCTTGCTTCACCATGTGCATTCAGGGACCAGGGGAGGGGGCAAGCAGACTCACTGCCACCCTGCGTAAACACACATCTGTCGTAAAAGTCTACCTTGGGGAGGGTGTTACCTATTCATCCACTTCCGGACTTCAGTCTTGTTCCAGGTATTTACTTTTGCGTGCATGTTCATCATAAACATCTGGCTTATCTATGCATATTTGTACGCAGACCACTGGTTCCTCAAATCTCAGGCAGATGCACTCCGAAGGAAACTATAATTAGTTGTCTTGTACGACATGCTAGTTAGGGAAGCAGCAGGTATACCCCCCCCCCCCTCTAAATAAGGCTCTAAGAACCCACAGGAGCATTCAGTCTAATTAAAACATAGTCAGATACAAAGATATTTGTATATTCACAAAACAAATCAAACAAAACAAGAAAAATGAAGTATAACCTACCTCTACCTAGGATATATCATAAAGAATAAAGCCATAACACAAACAAAATTAAAAATGGTCCCTTAAATGAATTACCAAAAACGTTTTACATAGAGCTGGTATTTCTTTTTCTTGTGCACTCGCCTTGGGTGGTTGGCACATTGTGTTGTGGTTTAAAGCTAGGCTGCGATATCAGCACCCCTTTGTCAGATTTTAGCATATCACTAGAAGTAACATTTTACAACATGATTGTAAGGGAAAGAGTGGGTCTACCCCCTCCCCCCCTTTCCAGAACAGAGTGCAAAAACAAACCCAGGGTGATCTAGTATTTTCAAGGTAGCCATAAAAGAGAAATCAAACAGTGACACCTCACAACTGGCAATGTATATGGAACTCCCCAAGATAAGATCGAGGCGGCGCTTGGGTGAAAGCGGTGGAGTGGACAGTAAATGCAGGTGTTTTGTTGTGAAAGGAAGGTGCAGCCTGAGACTACAGATATCAGATCTGTTTTCAACTGTTTTTTATTTCCATAATACAGCCATTAAGTTACTTCTGAAAACTTTACTTTTTTTAAACAATTAGTTTGGGGGAGAAAAATAATTGAATGAAACTGCAATACTTTTTGTAGCATGGTATATAATTGACAACATTAGTTTGTTGTCAGAACTATGAAGCCATATTATTTATTCACCCTTTCATAGAATTCCCCCTCCCCCTTTTTAAACATAAAATCGAGTTGCAAATGAATGAAGAATGGGTGAATATATTTCCGAAATTTATTAGGGAAAAGAAACACCTACATTAATTAGTTACATTCCGAACAGTGAACATCTACTTTTCCGAACTTTGATTACAGGTACTGAACTGTAAGCCTTAAAGGGTGTAGTAGTTTTATTGGAGATGTCTGACAATATGGAATAGTAAGCATAGATGTGCAAAAACAAGGGTTCTGCTGTATTTATGATACTTCCACAAAGACACCAATGAAGCACATACAATACAAATAAAACGTTTGCTCTGTGGCCAACTTACTGCCTTGAGATAGTCTCCTGATTATCAGATGACTCGCTTTTGTCTAAGTTGACTTTACTGGTTCCATTCTGTGAATGAAAGAAAAGCTATTTCACACAAAATACTTATTATTTCTAAACATATTAATACTGCATATCCTCTTATGTGAGTATACATGCCACGTGGCTCGCAATCAACTCTTCCAGTCCACTTGTGTTATTATTTTGAATGTTTTGCATAGAATTCAGTATAGGCCTCTCTAAATGTTCACTGTGGTCTTTCTCTTGGGCATCCTCAGTTTATTAGTTTCCCATTTCATTGTTTTTGAGATTCTGTTTGAGTTTTCTCTCAAAAATCTGTCCCTGAAACCCTATATATGTTGAACAAAATATGTCCTCATACTTCTACAGCATATCCACAATTCTAGCTGATCATTAGCATGTTTTAACACTCTGGGTGCAAAATACTGTCACTAGCAATAAAAAATACTTCACAGCTGTTGTGCTGTTTGTGAACTTCAACAATTTAGCAGTATTAACTGTTATTTCAGAAACATAAAAAAAATCACCAAAAATAGTTTGCATCTCTCAGTTACTACACAATTTTTAATTAAAAAAAAAAAGACGACTGGACTTTTCAAGTGGAACTGAGAGAATACAAAACGCGCTTGAAATGTACCTGGCAGAAAATGCTGACATGCATTTTATAAACAGCAGAAAATAGCTAACAGCTATCAGCAGCAAAAATTAAAATATAGGTTAAACACTGACTATTATACAACACATGGATGTACATCAAAATTCACTTCTTCAATCTAAAGTTGCACCATCCGTTATTACTGATATGAAAGACTTCAATAAGGATACTCAACAAAGAGAAAGAAAAGATGCACACATACATAATCGGCTATTTCGACAAAAGCCTTTATGAATGAATAACACAAGAATCTTACACCACACAAATGAACCCAAAAAAAAAAACCACACGTGAAGTTAATCCAACAACTGGTAAAAACATGTAAGTGTATGCAGGTTCATTGTTCATTTTCAATATCTTAACAGAGAAAACTAATCATGAATGAGATGCAAAAGTTTGAAACAGGCCGCTGAAGTTTTCAGAAGTAACTTAATGGCTGTATTATGGAAAGGAAAAAGATATAAATCACCTGGGGCTGCATAAAGGAATATTCCAGTATTTCCCATTTAATGGTACCTGAAACCCCACGGGTTCCTCACAATAAACAAATTGGGTCTGTTAGATTTACACCCAAAACATTCCCCATGTGGGTTCCAGGGCCCCATTGTGGGGGAAACAGTAACAGACCCACTAACAAGAATGTTGTAAAAGTTTACAAATTAGGGATTTCCTTCAAAGTCAGAATGCATCTGCCTGTAAGGCAACAAACCAACAATCTGCAGTCATTAGATCTGTAAAACTGATGCACCTGCAATACTCAAGTTCTGAAAAATGACCAAAGTCCTGAGATGGTGAACAATCATTTTTGTGATTCTAAAATTTACAAATTCTTCACTTTTTAAATGACTACTAAAGAGTATGAGGTCCGCAGGAGACCATTAAAAAATATGAGGGTTCCACATATCAGATAATTGAGACCCTCTGAATTATAACAGAATATAACCGGTAACCAAGGATTTCCTATAAAATTTCTCCCCCATAAAAATGTGCCAATAGTCAACAAAAGTTTATAAAAACTCTTTTTAACCCTCTTAGCAATACTCTTGCCTAATCACCAATTATCTTCTCCATGTAAGTATTTTACCTCTCTCTTAAAAAAACTGCTGCCATTGTGTACAGCTGAAAAGACATTAAATCAGACCAAGAAGTAAAAATACTGTGCAACCATTGTGTACAACTAGAAGAAAAACAAAGTCCTGCCTGTAACTAGTGCAAGATATGCACAATAGTTGACACCAGGATTACATACAGCTAACTTAGCCATACTTACTGTTTTCTGTTCTTTTTCTAATCGCTTTCTCTCCCTTTGTCTCTATTTTTAGAGAGAATGAGAAAATCAAAAGGTTTTTATTCAGTCTCTCATCATTTATAAATACATGAAAACAGCTCAAAGCTGGCAAAAAGAGAACAGCATAAAAGATACTAAAACAATTTTTTTTTTAAAATTTTAAACAAGTTATCCAATTGTGCATTTAATTAGTTGACAGAAAAAGCCTGTAAGCCTTAAAAACTATTGATGACCCAGATGCAAAAGAACTATCAACTGATTAGTTGAATCCTAATATGTTCTTTAACTCATTAAATTACAAAAGATTTTAAATGTCAAAAATTATAGGCAAGAATACATTCTTTTTAGTAGTTTGTGTGTGTGTGAGTGGTATATTAGAACATTAAAACAGAACTGATACTGACAACTCAGAGGTATTATTCACAAATGTTATTCTTAATAACTGGGTATAAAGATGTAGTTACACCAAAATGAAAGCAAAGCAATCCATCAGTGACAATGAAAAATATTTGAAAAAAACTGCAATGCTAAATGCCATGTGCATTAAAATGTAATACAGTGGTGTTTTATATAAGAGGATATGTTCTTTAACATTTCCATCATTAAAAAAACAAGTCTTATGATTCATATTTGCATATCTGAACACAGCAATTTGCAACTAGCATTAGAACAGGATTGAAAGCTTTAATTTCTGTTATTAAAATGTAACTGTAACAAAAAAAAATTTTTTTACAAGTTATTCAGGACATAGTATTCAAGATATCTGTTTCTTTGTTATTTCCTACTGGAGCATACATCTTCAATTAATTCATGCCACATTCTTCATCCATTTTCTTACAGCTAATTCAACCCTCTAATCATTACTCTTGTCTAATCCACAATTATCCTCTCTATGTTATACTATGTCCCCCTCTAAGTATTTTACACTGTAGTTCCAGAAGAACATAATTACTCTAATAACGTGTTTTCTAATGTAATCCTATTCTGCATCAGCACTTTTACCTCTACTTTTTCTTTATTTACTCTTAAAAGGGCAGTTAGCACTTGGTGTTCTGGTTTACAGCCAGGCTGTGACATCCATACCGTTCAGCCTAACTCATTCAGTTGCTGGGCCTTTAAACCCAACTCACCCAATTTCAGCATTTGCGTCTTTCAGCCCAGCATTTGTTTTTCCTCCCAAATGGGGCCCCAGAACTCCAAAGTGGGGTACCACACATTAGACTGTTGGGATTTGTTTAGTTTACTCCATGAGTTTCTTATTGGTGACTCTGTCATACTATTTCAGTCCTTTTGGTCTGCATAGGCATCAATTAAAGAATTCCTGCAGTTCATTAGTAAATGTTTTAGTCGTGAATCTACTTATTATCAATACAACAGTACTTTTTCTTCTTCTTGTACACCAGCTGTAAACTCAGGCAGAAAGTACACCCACTTCTGGATTTGAGTCCTGTTCCAGAATCTGACCTATGTCTATGACTGTTGGTTCTTCGCCTCTCAGGCAGATGCATTCCAACTTTGAAGGAAGCTCACAATCAGTTGAGTCTTACAACATGCTTTTGGGGAGGCAATGGGACTATTCTTGTTTTCGCCGCAACGGGGCCCAGGAACCCACACGGAGAACAACAGTGAAGACTCAACTTAAATACTCCCAGTTGTGTTTTATTCATTTCCACCTCAAAAAAAATGTGTGCTATAAAAGGTCTTCCTTCATCCTTTGTTCAACACCTGTAGCAGTGTCCCCCCCCCCTTTTTCCCAGCACTAAACTCTGCCAACATTGTAACGTAAATATGTGAATGATTTCACATACAAACACATTTTAGTTCTTAAAAATTAACTTTTTATTCAATAGAAATAGTACTGTACAGAATAAGCAAGAGAAACTAACCCTTTTTTTTGCTCTTCGTTTTTCTACTCTCTTCCGTTCCTTTTCCTCCTCTGTTAAATTCTTGGGACTATTCTGAAAGCACATAGTACAGTATTTAAAATACAAGCACATCACTAACAACAAAGGTATACTAAATAATCATACCTAACTTTAACACATGGAAAAGTCAACAATTTTAAATTAAAATGACTACTTTTATAATATATTTATTTGTGCTCTTTTTTCAGTTAACTCTTTTAGTCCCAAGGAACGCATGATGTGCCAATTATAGTCTCTTTTGACCACCCCTTGGGCCTGTGATGCTAAACTCTCTGGGACTCAAAGAGTTAAACTAAGGATCTCCTGCATACTCTTTCTGGGTGCCATAAGAGATTTTGCTTGGCCTTCCCTTTTCTTTTATTTGCATTCCCCAGCTGTAAACTTCTGTGAAAAGTTCTGGTTGGTTCATCCAATTTTGGACTCTGACCTTGCTCCAGGACTTGTGATGTACATTCACATCCATATGACAGATCTGGCTGATCTGTAAGCAGGCTGCTGGCTCGCAGGCAGTTATACTCTGAACTTGAAGGAAACTTCTAAATAGTCGCCTTGTATGACATGCTTGTTAGGAAAGCAGTGGGTCTATTCTTACCTATGAACCCCCCCCCCCCCCCCCCCCCCCCCCCCCCCCCCCCCCCCCCCCCCCCCCCCCCCCCCCCCCCCCCCCCCCCCCCCCCCCCCCCCCCCCCCCCCCCCCCGATAGGGCCCTGGAACCTTAAAGTTGATGGTCTGTCTTTAGCATACATTTACATAAGATTTTCTCTAACAGAATTATAAAAATATAATGAATTTCAATAAAGAACAATTTCACCAACAACCACAAAACGTGTTTATTAACAAAATAATAACATACAGATATCTTGTCATGCCAAGTTGAAAATATCAGTTCTCACCTATCACTGAAGTCAAGCAACATTGGGATGGTTAGTACTTAAATGAGATATTGTAGCGGTTAGCTGCTCATTTGCCAGCACAAAGGTTCGAATATGTCAGATTTTCTTCAAATTTACCTTGGCCCCCAGGGAGACCCAGTCTAAAATGGGTACAAGGTAATGTCCTAAGAAGTGAATGATGTTGAGCACTTCATCAAAGAGCACCAACTGGTCTCTAAAATACCTTGCATCATATGCCCAATGCGCCACATGGCCAGTTATATTGCACACCACCTAGCTTCTTGCCTAGAGACACAACATGTACCCATTTCACAAGTGGGAGCTAAAGTAGTTGCTCTGACCCCTGTGTGGGTTCCAACATTCAGGGGAAGGGAGGGCATAAACCTCCTTGCCCTTAACAAGTGTGTCGTACAAGGCGACTATGGCTGCTTTCTTCAAAGTTGGAGTGTGTCTGCCTGAGAGGCAGGAAACTAACAGTGTGTGCACACACAAAAACTAGGTGTGTGAAATGGATGTACACACTAAACCCAGTTCGGGAACAGGCCCTAAGTCCAAAAGTGGATGAATAACCAGAAATTTCCACTGAAGTATACAGCCAGTGCTAATAAGAAGTTTCTATAAATTCACAAGATCGCGTTCATATTTAATTAATTCTAGACTAAAATCACACAGGGAGATTCTTACTTACATCGGATTTTTTAGTAGATGAACTGGACTCTGCAAACAGTGAAGAGAAGAAATTAAAGCTGTATTAAAAACATGTCCATGGATTAATTAGATTATCAACAATTCAGCTAAGTAACATAGCCTCACTATAAAGCAATGAGCATTAGTTAAAAGGTTAGTTGTAATCTTAGCCATTCATCATCACCTTTATATTCTACTTATTCTGTCAAGTGCTGTATGTAGGAAAACACAGGAAAAGCCCAGTGTCTGATGGATAGCATTAGCTATCGCCATTCTGTGTGGATGTATGTTGTCTTTAATGTTATCAATACATCTTCTCCTTGCATGCCTTATTTTTTCAACATTACATTTTATTTTTAGCCAGATCACCTCTGGTAGCTGTAGCTGCATTCTAGCAAAATCATTTAATTGTTTGCTTCGCAATCAATTTGGTGCAAGATGCTGTTTGCACAATTTCTTTGAAAATACAATTTATCACCCTCTTAGACTGTTAAATTGGTTCTTTCTTCAGGCAATGGCAAACTACTTGACTTAAATTTGATTTTAAAAAACCACACCAGTCAAAAAAATGCTAGGGTTGGTTCTGCAATGTCCTGTAAAGGATACACAACTAACTTCAGGCATCTCATCTCAGGTATTATTTTATGTAGATGAGCCTTTGATAATCTCACACACGATGACATCACCAATAACCTAATCAGGTTATCACAGCCAGACTCATCATTAATTAACAGCTCCTTTACAGAACCGCACACCTGAAAATCCCTCTTTCTTTAGCAAATTCAAAAGCCCTATGTGCTTTAATTGTCAATGCATCTTTACTATCTTGTAACCACCTTTGTGGTCTGCCTCCGCCTCATTTCCTAATACCGTACTATCCATAACCATTCTTATATTAGATACAATTGTATTATCTATGTTTGAGAACAATGATGAAAGATGTTTTCTTAGCTTACTCACAAAGCAGCAAACAGGGCATGTTAACCATAAGAAGAGGCTTTTATACATATGAGAGATTGGTAAAGAGATGTTCCTCTGGAACCACTAACAAAGTACTGTATTTTTCCATGTATAAGATGCCCCTTATTTGTTACTACCCTAAAATTTAAAAAATACATATTTTAATCACATTCTGTATATGAGACGTCCTGCAATGTTAAACTGAGAAACTTTCGGAAAACATATTGTCTTATACACGGAAAACTCCTGTATAACTTTCATAATGACCGTGATGCATTAACTTTCTTGCCCTTCCCAATCTAGAAAAACAGTAGAGTGCATATGAATGGTTCCTTCACAACAGCACACAGGCATGGTGATTTTTGAAATCTCTACCGTGTGGGGATCCAATCTGTGAATCTGTCACACTATAAAAGAGGTGATTCAGTCTGACCAGCTAGAACACAAGTCATTTTTTTTCTCAAGACATTTTATGAGACAGTGAGTTAAGAACTAACATCAGTCTTTTGGATATTCCCACGCAGAATGTCAGCCAGATTTTAGTACCAACAAGAGCTAAATTTATGTGTCAAGTTTTATACTGAATGTACCTTTTCTAGGAAAAATTTTTTTATTAAGTTGTTCCTCTTCTGAATCTTCGCTGTCATCATCATCATCTTCATCACTACTTTCACTAGAGTCTGGATAGTATTTTGTGCCATTGGTTGCTGAAAACAGAAATACAAAATACTCTGGGAAAACTGTTATTTAAATAAATGTTATAAACTGTTTCTAAAAATAAGTAAATAAAGGACCCCTTTCATGTCAGTGGTGTATCGGGTATATGTCTCTAGATTCATTTTCTTTATAGACCAAGTGGTCTTTGATGAGTGATGTGGTCAACATCATGTCAGCTGCTTTTCCTTCCCAGGACTTTACTCGGTAACCATTTTAGGCTTAATCAACATGAGAGCGAAGGTCATTTCTAAAGAAAAAAATCTGACTTTGTGTGGATACAAACCCCTGAGATTTGGGCCAGCAGATAGAGCCTCTGGCCACTACACTAAACTGCTTCTTTCTCAGTGATAAACGTTTGCTATTCATCTATTCTATAAACAGATTGATGCACTTGAGACCTTTACGATTTTCTTAGCTTATTTTGAAGGGTCACTCCTGTAGGCCAGATTACCTACTGGCAACATCTGGACAGACCTGCAAGATGTGCTCTAAAATTTTTTTTTATATTGGGGGTTTGTTTGCGTTGCCCTGAAACGATAAGCCACACTGGCAACTCCAAACCTCTTCTAATTAACTACAGTGAAAAAGATAGAAAATGCAATGGTATGGACATGTTGTAAGATTTAACGGCCTCTTAAAAATAACACTACATGGCTCATTAGGGGGGAAGAGGAAAAGAGACAGCCCAAGAAAGATGTGGATACAGAAAATGATTGATTTGGCAGGCTTTAGGCATGCAACCATGAAGTCCATCACATCTAACCCACACAGGTGCAGGGATCACATCAGACAGTCAACAGCAAGTGGTGACATAACATGCAGGATTAAGGGACAAGGTTGATAGGATATGCAACAACTTTTTGAAACGAGACAAGGTTTTTCAGTATCAGAGGGGGAAAAGACTAAAAAAGATGAGAAAGAAGAAAAGAAATAGCAGGTGGAGAAGGATGTGGTACTAACGAGGAAGTACAAACCAAATAATTCATTTCATTCCCATACCTGCTGTATTGAAAAGAACTTGGTGAAAAAGTTGTAAACAGTCATTCTGAAAAAAACGTAAAAAAGAAAGAACATTATTAAATACATTAGGAAACTAAATTTAATGTTCAAACATAAGCCAGACAATGTGACACTTAATAAGAGTTTATAATTTTGAGAATCAATGCAATTAAAAATTAAAAGTCAGGATGCAACAAAATTATAAAGGAAAAATTCGGTTTTGAAATGACATTATGAGAGCTAGACAAGTTCTAGCAAACTGAGAAGTGAAGGATATCTGAAGATGAATACGACATGCAGGCAACCTGTTAACAGCATAACTAAAGTCTTTGTTTACAAAAATTTAAACTAGGGACAAATAAATCTCTTGAAGCCTCCGAGACTATTTATAGCAGAATGCTGGAAATTCCTTGGAGAGTAAAAACAAGTATTCTGTTTTAAAAGATCCTAGGATAGAATGACAACTTACCACTAACAACCGAACGTAGCAGTAATAACTTTTTCTTTCATGAAGAGCAGAGAAAAAAATGGAGCAGATGTGACAAGGAAAACAAAATTATGGGAAGAGAAAGTGAAGAAGAATATCGAGAGCCTTATGTTCCAACTTGAAAAGGGAACGGTATGAGCTGATACATGCAGCTGAAGAAGCATGTCAGTCAGTAAGATTGTCAATGACTGTGTTTTTAAATTTTTTTTAATCTTCATAGCAAATTTGAAGGATGATGGAGAAAATAGATTCCTTCTTCATAGCGTTGACCATCTATAAACTCGGCAAAAAAGTTGTGGTTGTTTCTCCACTTCTGGACTTAGTCCAGAACTTGAGGTTTGCACGTACATACATTTTACAGATCATGCTCACTTGTATGCGTACTTCTAGTTCCCTGCCTGACAGCAGATGCATTCTGACTTTGAAAGAAACACCCCAAATTCTTAATTAATTGCCTTTCACAACATGCTTTTAGTAAGGGTGAGGGGGGGGGGGGGGGTGTGAGGCAGTGGGCCTATTCCTTTTTTTAAACCTAAAATGGAGCTACAGAACCTATGCAGGGTAAAAAAAAAAGACTGAAACTTTTGAATTTCACCTAGTTATCACTTTTTTTTACCAGTCCTCCATATGTACTAAACAAAATGCACACCATCACGGTGCAAGTCAAACTTTACGGGTTGCTGAGTGAATTAGAAAAGAGAGTAGAGATAACACTGCAGATATAGATAATTTATTTTGAGCGAACGAAAGAAAAAGAAGAACACCTGTCTTTAAAGTATTCTATAAACAAACACATTAACATCATCATTCAGAGATGAAAAAACTAACCATGTTTAAATCTTGGTGAAATTCAGACGACGTCAACCTCTTATATGCAAGGTTCACTTGCTTGAATTTCTGTAATGACAAAATAGAAGCAAATAAAGTATCAAAGGTGCACAGAATCAAGCAAAAATATAAGCAAAAGAAAACAGTAAATGTGTACCTGGCTCTTAGATTTAACAAAAGATATGCAATGTCTAGACAGGTGGTGTGCAAAAGTAAAGGACCCTTCTTCATATTATTAGGTGTACTTGGCATAGAGTGCTAATTTTATAGAACAATCTGTACTCAAATGGTGTTGGTATATTATCTCTCCACAATTTTGCTCAGCATTTGTGATGCACTTATAATAATCTGTTTTGTGTACAGTTATCTGCCATTTTCTTTATATGCCAGCCACTGCAGTTTATTCACCCTCATGTGGCAGTAATTAGTGGTGATTTAAACAGAGTATGAATTTTCACTGCTGCTCCACACTTTCCGTTCTTGATTATCTGCATCTTTGAAGAGACTAAAGATTCACTGTAAGACTTAAATGCTGAACTAACCTGATTTAAAATCTATAAACTATGTTTTAAAACAGATTGCAAGCATTTTGGAACCAGTTCTTATTATAATACACAGGGGGAAAACAGCTGCTGGTTACAAAAATACCCTGAAGAGCAGATGGTTATATACATAACATTTTATCACATTAAAAAAAAAAACTGCATATATCATGTTACATGCTTCTTTTTATTAACTGTAAACAATTCCACAATGTCCAAATACTGTCAGCAAAATTTTTACAGAAATCACAAGGGATATCTTCATTATTCATAAACATTATTGTAAAATTGTTAATAGCATATTTATTCCAACATTAAGCTACCAGTGCCAAACATGGACACTATCTAAAGCCCATATACGCAAAATTACCACCTGCGAGATGAGGTGCATGAGAAAAGCAGCCAACCTAACCATATGAGATCGAGTGAATAATGAAACTATCAGGCTAATTGTGGGAACGACACCTTGTATTAGATTCATCGAGAAACAGCATATCAAGTGGTTTGGCCATCTCGTTAGAATGCAGCAAGATCAAATACCATCACAAGCACTACATCTCAGAAGACCAACTACAAGAGCAAAAGGATGGCTGCGGAAAACATGGATCGAAAACATTAAAGACACTCTACGCCTTCACGGCATGATAATAGCCAGTGGCAGCCAACGTGCACTGGAAGGCAAATTATTCCTCCCCACGACGCTTAACAGCAGAAGTGATTTATGATGATGATGATTATTGTAAAAAATGTGAACCCAATAAATTACCTTGACAGACTCTGCAGAATACTTGTGCTTTTCAGGATGCCACTTAAGGGCCAGCTGTCTGTATTTTGTTATAACTAAATTTATATCTGCACCTAGGACATAAGTAACAGTATTCGTTAGCAAATCAAGAGGTGATATTGTGTTAATATAATAAATGGAACAAATTTACCCACTTACAATGACCAGAACAAAATAATACACATGATTACAACTAAATCTAACACACATCTCTACATACAACCACACTATCTCAATGAGTGAGATGCAGTGACTAATTCAACTACCCTGAGACTCTTCCCACCCATGGCTGCATGTGGATCTCACATTCTCGCCAACCCTCAGGGTTCTTCACCTGCCAGTCACAACCCACGTGACGATCGCTGTTAGTGTTAGCCATTAATCTCAATAAAGCCCTGTCTCACAATTTAACTGTGCGGACCTTTTGCAATCGCCTCTGAGATCATCATCCAGTGCCTCCACCACCAGCGTAGGCGATCATACCTTTGACGCCTGGCACAACCTAACTAACAAACAGCAAAGTTAATTTAGCACACAACACCCCACCTAAGCCTTTCTAAAATCTGTATGCCACCAGTTAACTCAAAACTGTGGACGAGTCCATTTTTAAACTGCCCACATTTGGGGCTAGGGCTCCACATTAGAAACACTGCATCAGCTGTAAACAATTTTATAACACTCAATTTCTTCTCGGTCTTCTTAGCATTCATTGGCTGCATATACTCTGGCATAAAGTTCTGATTGTTCGTCCACTTCTGGACTTGAAGAGGCAGTTTGGGGCCCGTGAAGTCACACGGGAAACACTGGATTAAAAAATTTAAAACTATCAATAGTTTGTTTTCTTCCTGTCTTTGACTGTGGCTTAGGCGCTAGGAATGTGCTTTGTTCTACCCCAGCAGCTGATGATTTGTCTTGCGTTGGTTTCAACAGTGATACTAAGGGCTGATAATTCAGAAAGCAACGGCACACTAAAATTTGCCTAGAAAAACCACAACAGTTCAACAGTCAAAGTTTCTTGACTCAAAAAAAATGTTGGGGTGGGTTCTGCAACATATGTGAAATATGTTTTCTTTTTTTCTAGTTCACACACACATGCAAATCAGAATGCTTATCTAGGTCATATAATTACTGTAATTTGTGTAAATAAACAATATTAATTACTATTAACTCATTCAGTACCAAGTGATGGTTATGTTATTACTACATAATGATAACCTCTTAACTCTTTGAGTCCCAGGGTTTAGCATCACAGACCCAGGGAGTAGTAAAGAAAGTATAAAATCGGCGCATCATCATATACTGTTACTATGATGGGGATGCTCTTGATGTGTTTCTAAATAATACTATTTACTAATATACTATAGATTAACTAAGATTATAAAAATTAGTCACTCTCCAGAATACCGGTCCCAAATTATTCAGTCAAAAACTGCATCTCTTTGAGAGCCTACTTAACTCTTTGAGTCCTTAGGAACGCATCATACGTTCCTACCTAGAAGCACAATGAACGCATTATATACTTTATACAATATTATTATTACAGTGCTGCCGATAATTTTATAATGCTTATTAATAATAATATTAAATTACTGATTAATAATTTAATAAGTTTAAAAAATATTATGAAATTATCGGCAGCATGGTTATGGTAGAGTGCAAGTGTAATTAAATGTTTCCTCTTCTTCTTCGCGTTCACCGGCTGTAAACTCCAAAGATTTGATTTTTACTTTCAATTTCAATAACTGGAATTTGGTTAATATAATATATAAATAATATTTAAAGTTAAAGTAGCCAAGGCAAGAGCTCCAGATATTATTATCATTAACTCATTTATTTATGAATTTATGGGGTTTTTATTTTATTTTTTAATTTTAACATTCGTAGCATTCTATCTATTTCCCAACACGCTGCATCAGAAACTAGAGAAACTACTTGCAAAATCGTTATTCGTTTTATTACATAATTATGACAATGATCAATGAATGAACATATTGTCAGTGTACTGTTTTTTAAGATGATTGAGGTTTTTAGAGACATAGTAGTTAAAATAACATAATAATAAGTGTTTACCCGCTTATCTTCCGAAATAATAATTAATAATGTAAACACTTAAATTGCGTACCCGCACGACAGCAATACAACTCCTCAGCAGACTTTTATTACTTCACAGAAATGACATTTCGCGCAGCCCTGGCTACTGTTCGAAAAATTCCGCGAACTATATTCTACAGCAGAAAATGTCTAACAAAAATTACACATACCTACAGGAAGTTCCAAAATATCACACGCGTTCTGGCTTGTAAGAACCATTGTGATCATTCAGGAAATAATTTGGCTGGGTTAAATGAAAAGTCTGACTCTTTTTCTGTTTATAAAACAACACAGTACACAAGACGAACAAGATAATGGCGATGTGTCGACAATCACATTCAGGCAGTCGCCATATCTTTTTGCTGAAGAAACAAACCAAGGTCTCGTTCTCGTGGAGAGATGAGATTCCCTGCTTCTCCCTGTGTTGCTTACAAATTCCTCGCCTCGTTCATCATCATCATCATTTTCGTCGTCATTATTACACAATTCTCAACAAGTACCAGGTTTCTTTGGTAAAATATGTGACAAAAGAGATTGCATAACACAATGTTGTTAACACTTCTATACTCATTTCCCAAGAGGCGTTTGGCTTTTCCAGGGCCGGATTTAGACTTCATGGGACCTCTAAGCTATATAAAGCCCTGAACTAAACACCCGCTAATCTAAGAAAACTAATTTTTGTAAATATGTGTGTACACACACAAATATATATATATATATATATATATATATATATATATATATATATATATATATATATATATATATATATATACCACACACACACAGAGATAGACATATATAAGTTCACCAAATATTGTCGTCTAATTAAAAGAAGTCATAAAGAATGTGTTTGACATAAATGATTATGTAATCATCTGGCTCTAAGTTCTTCTTTTTCTTCTTCTCTTCCACCTTGTACCTCATCAAAGTGTCGGGGGGGGGGGGGGATGTAATGTTCGTTGATGGGCTCTGTCAAGAGCACTATTAAGACTGATGTTCATTTCTGTAAGGCTGTTCTTAATGCCATCACTCTATATTTTCCCAGGTCTTCCACTCGCTCTATACCCGTTGTAACGTTTTAGTGTGGCTCGCTGTGGCGGGTAGTACCAGGGCATTTTTGTTAGGTGTCCAAACGACTTCATGTGTTGTTCTTTGATGACCTGTAAGACTGGCTTTATTCCTAGCATTCGTCTGATTTCATGATTTCGTATTCTGTCTTTCATTGAAACTCCTGCAGCTCTTCTAAGGCATTTCATCTCTGTTGTCACAATTTTACGTTGATTGAAGGATGTAAGTGTCCACGTTTGACATTGATAGCATAGTCTTGGCCCAAAAATAGTTCTGATAAGATTCACTTTAGTACTCCGAGGTATCTGCTTGTGTGTCAACAGGGGAGATAGTTGACCCATTACTTGATTAGCTTTGGCACATCTGGAGCTAATGTCTCTGTCCAGTTTTCCGTCAGATGTAAAAATTGCTCCCAAATACTTAAATTCCTCTGTTTGTCTCAGGGTGTTGTTTTTTAATTTTATATCTAAATTGTCTTTATGTCTTCCTATCATCATTGTCTCTGACTTCGTAGTGTTTATTTTCATATTATATTCCTCCCCTTCGTTACTAATTTGATTTAGATGGTTCTGTAGGCATTCTGTATTTTCTGCTATGAGTACCTGGTCGTCGGTGAACAATAATTCTGTAATATCTTCTTCATGATTAAAGTTCGTTTCGCTTCACATGGTATCCATGTATGTTATAAAAAGAAGCGGCGATAGTACACAGCCCTGACGCACACCAGAGTTCACTATAAAAAGTTCTTGACAACCCTGCCTTCGATCTAATGAAGTATTTACTACGTGTGTACAGGCTTTTGCAAATATTATTGAGATGATTGCTGATTCCTTTTTTCCCCATACATTCCCACAACATCGACTCTATCGAAGGCTTTTTCTTGGTCTGTGAATGTCAACAACAAATCATTTTGTCTTCATTTCCCAAATGCAGAATTATTGATTACATCATCAAACATGTTTCATAATATGTTGGTTTCTATACACATGATGTTAATTGCACATAGTGTTTTTGTTTTTTAAGACTTGGGCTCACATTTTATTATTATTCTCTTTGGCTGTGCAAACGATCTTTAATCCTAACAATTTACTGTCTGACGTTCAACTCCACCATAACCGCACGACGAGCGGTAAACACCCGACATCTCAAAATGACACCATTCGGATGAGAATCACCCGGGAACAAGTCCCAGAAATCCTGTTCAACCAGTAGGTTATTTTTTTTAGAGTCCCCAACAGCCTGGGTGGGGGCTTTAAAATAACAACAAAATTGCCTCCCATTTTCTGACGGGCATTATAGCATCAACAGTTCGTTACAGTTTGATCAGGAAAGGCTGTAATATTGCTTCAACATTATAGGAAATTGAATCTCGTCTTGAAAGATGATTTAATACATATCTTTGAGTTGAATTTGTTCTTTTCCCGGATAAATCCCGTATCCTCTTTCAAATGTTTGCTTCACTGTATGGTCGGATACAGAATATTAAAAGAATATTGCATTTGAGAAACAACTAGGACTTTTTGTTAGACCACTGCAGATTGTACGATCCACCGCCTCCTTTAGAGCAGGTTGTGGTAAGATCCTAAGCCATAGTTTACTTAGTTTGTGGCTTGAATCCAGAACTGGGCTCTTTGATAGTAATGTTAGCTGTCCCTAATTTTTTTTTAAAGTATGTTGAACAGACCACAATAGACAGTGGACACTATACCTCCCCCCCCCCCCCCCCCCCCCCCCCCCCCCCCCCACCTTTTTCTTCCATTTTTTTTTCTTCTCTGAGCTAAAGACGCAGATGTTGCAGCCTAGATATAACAAAAAAGAATCTTCAACCCCCTTTTCGTGTACTTTTTCGCCCTATCCTGTCTGGACTCCATGCTACCTTGTAACCACCTGGGCACTCAAAATGAAGTTGCCGTTAGACGGGGTTTGGGGGACTTGCACCCGGGTGATTCTCTTCAAGAAGAAGAAGTAGAAGAAGGAAGGAAAAGGAGAAAAAGAGGGAGGTGGTGCAGAAGAAAAAAAAAGAAGAGAAGAAGAAGAAGAAGAAAAAGAAGAAGAAGAAGAAGAAAAAGAAGAAGAAGAAGAAGAAGAAGAAGAAAAAGAAGAAGAAGAAGAAGAAGAAGAAGAAGAAGAAGAAGAAGAAGAAGAAGAAGAAGAAGAAGAAGAAGAAGAAGAAGAAGAAGAAGAAGAAGAAGAAGAAGAAGAAGAAGAAGAAGAAGAAGAAGAAGAAGAAGAAGAAGAAGTAGAAGGAGAGACGAAGAAGTTGAAGAAAAGAAGAAGAAAAAGAAAAGAAAAAAGAAGAAAGAAGAAGAAGAAGAAGAAGAAGAAGAAGAAGAAGAAGAAGAAGAAGAAGAAGAAGAAGAAGAAGAAGAAGAAGAAGAAGAAGAAGAAGAAGAAGAAGAAGAAGAAGAAGAAGAAAAAAAGAAGAAAAGAAGAAGAAGAAGAAGAAGAAGAAGAAGAAGAAGAAGAAGAAGAAGAAGAAGAAGAAGAAGAAGAAGAAGAAGAAGAAGAAGAAGAAGAAGAAGAAGAAGAAGAAGAAGAAGAAGAAGAAGAAGAAGAAGAAGAAGAAGAAAGAAGAAGAAGAAGAAGAAGAAGAAGAAGAGAAGAAGAAAAAGAAGCAAGAAGAAAGAAGGGGTGCAGCAGCAGCAGAAAAAGAATAGGGAAAAAAGAGGAAGAAGGTTTCGTACAGATGTCCAGCCTTTAGAAAAGGAGCTGGATAGCACCAGTTCACCCGGAAACTTCCAGGGGCATGGGTAAGTACATTGCTGAGTGTAAGACAGATAGGGATATGTAAAGCAACATAACTTGGCTGGTAAACCATTTAAACTGCAGCAGAGCTCAAAACCTTAGCGTTAACCTACAGCTGGATGAAAGTCCTCTCCTCTTACTCCCTCAATGGATCGTCCAGACAGTTTAGACATTACGTTTCCATTGTATTTTATGATATATATATATATATATATATATATATATATATATATATATATATATATATATATATATATTGGTTTACCAGCCACGTTATGTTGCTTTACACATACACACACACATACACACACACACACATATATATATATATATATATATATATATATATATATATATATATATATATATATATATATATATAAATATATATATATATATATATATATATATATATATATATATATATATATATATATATATATATATATATATATATATATATATATATATATATGGCCATAGCATTAACCAATAATTGTTTTTTTTTATTTAACTTGTACAAAATATCTGGTCTCTGTGCACAAAAAGAACCAGACAGAAAACAACGGTCTCATTTTGGCTTCCGGACTGAACCTGTGGGCGCTCTAGGCAGGAGACCCACCCAGCTGTTGTGGCTCTGCACACTAGGCTTAACAGCGTGGATACGGGTGACTGCAGAGAAAGGCCGGTTGCCTGGCTGATTTCACGGCGGTGGTATGTTTCCATAGCTAGCTCTGGATGTGTCTCTAGTAGTTAAACAGTGTAGAGATATATCAGTGCGTATCATCGCTCGGAGATAGTTCATTTTATTAGTGAAGTGCTTGGCACGTTGATGATTGTTAATGTTTTGTTATTTGTGAACATCGTTTAATATTGTCTTATGTTCAGTGAAATAAACAGATGCTGAATGTAGTGATTATAGTTCCAGTTGTTTGATTAAAGTTGGGACTGCTATTTAGTAGTGTCTAGTTTTACTACTACTTCTGTCTAGACTGAATACAAAAGATATCATGTCTGGGCTAGAATATTTCTGTTTCTAGTCCCCGCCTAATGAACTCTTTTTCTTTAGTTTTTCTTAATACTTAGAGCCTTTCGCTTCTAGTACACACACACATAAAAACTATGCCTGGGTGAGAATAGGTACCGTATACTGGAAAGGAAATTGTATTATCCTTTTGTTGGTCAGCGAATGCAGACTATCGCTGTCACTAGGGAGTAGAATTAGACATAACCTATTTTTTTTCTAACCTGACTACTAGTCACTGGTGATCCTGGCGTTTTTACGGACATAATCGGTCTATATAAGCCTAGCACAGACATCTGAGCGCAAAATACTGTGAGTATGTGGATGGGTGTTGAACAGGGTATGGTTTTTGGTGATTGCTAACTCTAGTTTTCCTCTTTGTACAGGG